GCGTACATAAGTAGACACAGTTTTTTTTTAATTTTGAGGTTGAAAATATTAAGCAAACATCTAAGGGTACTACCGATAATTTCACGTTATTATATTATGTAATTGTAATAATAAAATAAGAGATAAAGTGTTGTTATTATTTTGTTTTATTGATAGTAAATAATACATTCCACACTATTTGAAACAGATGGCGCTACTGTACATCTGAATCGCGCTATCGTTTGGTTATTTGTAAAACCATAAAGGTAAAATATTTTTTTAATTAAATGTGAGGCTAAAGAATATCTAGTGTTTTAATACTTTCAAGTGGCTCCAGATACTACTATTGGATATCCCTAAGGCATTTTTGGGACAGGCCGGTAATACTTTCTGCAGTGACATGGAACATGACAATTTTTAAATATAAAAAGTAATAGTAGGCACACAAGTTAAGTAAGAGGTTGAAACTGTTCATGTAGAAAATTACAATTATATATTTTATGTTTACTATTCTAACATCCTCCGTTGAACATAAATCAAACCCATCTTGGAAGCGCAATAAGTCAATTTTGAATATGGCGTTGCTTTGGTGAGTGCATCAGCCACCATCATGTCCGTCTGTATGTACTTCACATCAATGACCCCTCCCAACAACTTTATCACATACATAGTGGTGCCTCACATCAATATGTTTAGTCCTTGGATGATAGCCATCGGATCCTAAAAGTTTTATAGAGCTTTGATTATCACTGTAGATGATCATTGCTTCATTCTTGAGTAAAGGCCAAAAACTTTCTTGAACTTTCATCCACATAGCCTCTTGTACACATGATCACAAAGACATATACTCTGCTTCGATGGTAGACAGAGCAACAGCAGGCTGGCGTTTAGAATTCCAGCTGCTTGTTCCTCCCTGAAATAAGAATACGTAGCCAGTGCAGGAACGCCGGTCATCCTCCGAGCTTGCCCAGTCTGCATCTTAGAGGCCATGAGTCATATTCTCCTCTGAATTTTGTTTATAACCGCAGACATTACAACCAAAAGACTCCGCTTTCACTAATTTTAGTACGAAAACAAAATCGCCAAACGTGGCGGGGTGCAGGGGGAGGTCGGCTATTTTTCATTGGTTCTTTGAAACACATGTCAAAGTTAACAATATTAGGGACAACTCACTAGTCATCACTATCGTCGAGACCATTTATCAATATCGATAACTAAGTCGAGTCGATTATGGTATAACAGGATAATAAAAAAACATGTAAATTGTTATACAAATTATTTAATATAGTGAGATTAGTAAACGTCTTATTAAAGTAAAAAAGCAGTCATGAGGTCTGCCGACAGAAGTGAAAACTTAAAACATACACAAACAGTTGTTATTTTTGGATATCAAATTAATTTTTTGATCTTAAATTAAAATTTGTAAATTAATACAATAAAATATAATAATATATAATATAACTATTCACATCACATTTTTGTTAAGTATATATATATATATATATACAAAAATTCACACTTGCGCCTTGGCTGCTTGACCACGATGCTAAGTCTTAGCGTGCGAATTAGCCACCATATTTTGCGTGGAATAATGCAAAACAAAACCGCATGAAAACTCGAAAACACGCGTTTTCTCAGACATAAGACTAATCTAAATCGATTTATCGCCCCCGAAACCTGTATACTAAATTTCATGAATATTGTTGGAGCCCTTTCCGAGATTCAGATTATATATATACAAGAATTACTCGTTTAAATATATTAGATTAGATATATTAACTTAACAAAAAAATCAGAATGATAAAGTATTCAATGCTCATCACATAATTTAATCAGGGAAATCACAATGTTATAAACTGGAAACTAATTTTAATGATTTAGAGCCAGCGGGTTCACAGTCGCCGACCATCGACTTCCAACTACAATATCAAAACAAAACGCTCTATGATCCACAAAGATCAACCAACTTTATTAAACAACGTATCTGCAAAGAATGAAAAAAAAGTAAATCTTCTGTAAAACAACCCGCATATGCATCGCCATTCTGTGCGTTCGTTTTCAATAGCATTTGACATGCACTTCACTTTAATATCGACTATAATTGACCCTTAAAATGTATTAATTTTGTATAAACTCTTCTTATTGATTTTGATTCGGATTTTTTTGTTAAGTAAGCCAACCAGTCGTATATCAATAAAATATTTATCAATCACGCATTTTATTAAGTCAATTAAATTATTGACGTTTTCATAATCAAACTGATGCTGTAGTAAATCGGAAAATAATTCTTCGCTAGTTAAAGAATTCAATGTTTTTGAAGAAAAAGACATTGGACGGCATCTTGACCAACCATTACCATTTACCAACCATTACACTCCCTTCAGTAGTCGGGAAAAAACAACAGACAGACAACATTAGACTACTGTACGATTATCAAGTCTTAATAATTATGTTTTTCGATAAACGAAATTTTTGTTTACATTGTGTCTCATCACTAATTTACACGTGCTAATGACAGCGAGATAATGCTATGTGAATTTATCTACGAAAGAAAGGGATGTGAAAGAACTAAAGGACATCAACGCGATTCCTTATTTTATTTTATTTCTGGGTAATTATTATATATTTTTTTCAATTCAATGATTAATGATGTAATAATGACTTACCAGGCAGTTGTAGCCCAGTGGTAACGCGCTCGCTTGAGAAACCGAGTGAAGCGAGTTTAAATCCTGGGTCTCGCACCTCTGATATTTTCATGTGCGAATCCTTTACAACATGATTACCACTTGTCTTAACGGAAAAGGAAAACATCGTGAGGAAACCTGCATGTCTGAGAGAACCTAGCAAGTTTTCAAAAGACATGTGAAGTCCGCCAACCCGCACTTGGCCAGCGAGGTGGACTATGGTCCGATTCCCTTCGTACTGAAGGGAGGCCCGTGCCCAGCAGTGGGACGTTAAAAAGGGCTGAATACAATGTAAGTCATTGTGAAATGTAATACCATCTTTGGTTAGACTAGACATTGTACTACACTTTTCACACCATTTCACTGAACAATACGGCATTATAACTAGTAGCTTAGGCAATGTTATCGCTGTGACTGACGGCGGCGGACTAATGTGCGTAAAGGGGCGGGGCCGACTGTTATGCAGTGTCACTGCCAAACCTTGGCTAAAACATATCCCCAGTAATGCGTCGTCTTTAGGTTATATTGTCTGTGTAAATGCCTCGGTGGTGTAGTGGCTAGCATGTACGGCTGCACACTCGGAGGTCCTGGGTTCGAGTCCCGGGTCTGGCCAAGTTTAATTATTGAGTCTTTCTGTATAGTAAGTCTCAGTAACCGCCCGGAGTTTGGAAGTTGGCGGTGTTTCACCCCCGTGCCTCGGAGAGCATGTAAAGCCGTCGGTCCTGCCCCTTAACTCTCACTGTTCGTGTCGAGCAGTCGTCCCACCGGAGTATGAGAGTGACAGGAATAGAGAGTGCACTTGTGTCTGCGCGTACACTTGTGCTCTATAATATCTCCTGCGCAGTTGGCTAGTCTCAATGAGATTGGCCGCCGTAGCCGGAATCGGCTAGGAGAACATCATTATTTAATAAAAAATACTTGTAAAAAAATATTATTTAATAATATTTTCAATTCCCCCCTGACTGTACAAAGCGTAAGTAGTACTAGTAGCTAATTTGACGCGCTAAGAATTTGACGATATGACAACTTAACGAATTAAGTCTTTGACAAATCTAGGTTTTGACCAATCTAGTATTTGACGAATGTCTACGTAACCCAAATAACAGGACATGACAATTAGCAATTCCAACGCTTAAAATGTATTTCAATAAAATTTTTTGTAGATGATTCTTTTCAGCTAATCAAAATTATTTATAGAGTCTTTTATAAAAGATAAAAAAAACAAAAAAAAAATAGCCGACGCATAGGAAATCTAATATATTTTGATACGTAAAATACATATTTACCTATTAGATATTCATATCTTAAAATATTGTTGGCTGGCACCGACTTCGAAAGTATCTGATTAGGTATCTATTCTAAATGAAAACCCCCGTTTAGTTATTTTTTACATTTTAGTGCCTCGAAGTCGGTTTTTTTTTTAGTTTTTATTTTTATATTTTTTGTGTAGACGTAATAAGCAGGTAATTTGTAAGAAGAAAGTTTTTAATAACATATTCGATTAAACAATTTGTTTAAAAAATATATTTATTGTTGAATTTTTTAAAAACCGCTCGACTGATTTCGATAAAATTTATATGGGACCACCTGGGAAGTATACCCTTTCAAACAAATTTTCCAAATCAGTTCAGGCGTCTTCGAGTAATCGGTGAACATACATAAAAAAAGATTCCGATGAATTGAGAACCTCCTCGTTTTTGGAAATCGGTTAAAAATGAGACCATAAATTACATTAAGTCATGTTTCATGTTCAGACGCACACTTTTTTCAGTAGAATAGGATAATCCAAAAACAAGAGTTATATATCAAACCTGGCATTGTTTGATATAATTATACATGTAAATTCGTAATTTATATATTAGTCTAATTGTAGGGAAAGCTACATATTTTTCGTCACTGGCCGTCACAATATCAAGACTGGATCAAAGCTTATCTTTAATTTTAGTTAATATTATACAATAAAATGTTCTTTTATTATTTTATGCCACAAAAAATAATCTCTGTAAAAAAATCCGTATTAGAGTAAGTTTCGCCTTTTAGGTGGATACTCGGTAAAAATCGACATATGTTGATGCAGAAAATTCAATTTAATAAATAAGATAAAAAATATTAATGAAATTATGAGCTTTAATAGAAAACAAACATGCTATAATGACAATATTTTTTTTAATATAATTTTTTTGAACATAATAATTCGTCAATTATTTGATTTTAAATACTTACAAATTCCAATTACTACTAACTATTAATACTTACAAAGTTGAAAAAAACCTCACCAAAATCGCGAATGGTGGGAAATGAGAAAGCATTGTTATCATATTCTTTAATTTATTACAGGGAATCTAAACCAACCTGGACCTAGTGGTATTACACGAGTGCGTTCACGAGCTAACAGTGAAGTATCATTTAGTGGTAATTTATTTCATCTGTTGCATTAAAATATATGGGGCATTTCACGTGAAGCGGACAACGAAAATAAAGTGAGGTCGTGAAAATTGTTCATACTCTTCATTGTCTAGTGGACATGGAGGTGCAACTACATTATTTTTTTCGTATGATGCTTTATTGCAGAGTTATGAGCTTTTAAAAATTTACGAAGTATGAAATCCGTACTTTTTGAATGCTTATTTTTTGTATCAATCAATTTGAAAAATATCTAAAAATTTATAGTTTCTCAAAGTTAAAAGGATGCAGTTTTTAATTTTTTTATCGAATTACTTTGTTTCTTTTTACGTATAGTAAACCGGAAGTGAAAATTTCAAATGGATGTTTGAGTAACTTCGACATATATTTTTTTCTATATTTTAACTTTGAATTAAAGCTTTGAATATCTTAATTCTTCACAAAAAAATTATAACGTGATCGCCAATAGTTTAGACATCACTAGGAGAATTTTTGTAGCAGTCATGTTTATGAGTTAACATGCTAAAAGACTATGCTGTTACCATTTTATTCTTTCATTTGAACATGCATAAATATAAAAATATACGAAATTAAGTTCTTTTTTTATTTCGTATATTTTTTTTCTTCGTATATTTTTATATTTATGCATGTTCAAATGAAAGAATAAAATGGTACAGCATAGTATTTTAGCATGTTAACTCATAAAAATGACTGCTACGAAAATTCTCCTAGTGATGTGTATGTAGGTACTCAATATGCTTTAAGTCCTAAACCAGGGTATCAAATTATCATGATAAATATATTTTTATCAAGATAATTATCAGATAATTATCCGATAATTATCAAACAGATATAAATTTAGCAATCCTTGTGTAGGTATTGGTATTTGACTACTTGCCCATCATAATTTACGTCAGAATAAATTATACACAAAAGTGTATAATTTATTCTAACGTAAATTGTGATGGGCAAGTTGTTAAAAACAATCAAGGTAATCTTTTATTGTTATTATTTTTTCATTATTTTGTCATATACAAACTATGAAATAAAATCAGAATAAATTTAACCAACTATATAGACACTATTTAATTAAATTCAAAGTCTCTGCTCACTACACCGTTTCATACCATGACAGTGCTAGGATCGTGTAAGGCAAATAAAAATCTTTGTATTGATAAATATGAGACTACGTCCACTAGACCGTTCTATCACCGACGGTTCATGGAGAGTTAACAATAATTGTCGGCAAGAATATTTTGCCGGTGCCGATACGCTCCGTGCCTGGCACGCGACGTTGCCGAATCGGTGCGCGCGGACGGCAAAACGGTGAGCACACGGGTTATAACTGCGTATGATGACCGTTCTGAGCCCGTTATAAACGTGTTGTCGCTTAAGTATCTTCTAGTGATATCACATTTTCTTTTAAATTATTATTTTTTTAAAACGGCCTGAACGTAGTAACGTCGTGATCGACTGATGTTATTCTCTTTCCTCCTCGTCTAAAACAATGGCTATCATTGTTAATTATCTGTCGGACCAGTTTCTAATAGCCATCGTATAGGTATAGGAAATAATTTTCGTAACAAAAATATTCACTCGCACTTTCTGACGCGGCTGCCTCACGCGAAAATACTGGTGAACTACTACGACTGAGAAAACTTGAACTATGTATACGGATATGACACGCGGACGATACGTGGTTGATACGCGAATAATACGTTCTAGTGGGCGACACGGACTACTATTAGTTCGTGTCGCTTGTTTCTGTGCCTGATACATTCATAGTACGGTCATGGTATGAGACGGTGTAGTAGGTAGACTCCTTAATGATTGGAATATCATCCTCATCCTCCTCAACTGCATTAACTCAGTTTGCTGATTGAGTTTTTTGAGCTGATTGAGAGAGTTCAGTTAGATGATTGACAATTTGAAGAGTTACAAATTAAATATTTTCAATTATATTTATCTAAGATAATTATCAACCCATATTTATCATGATAATTATCAATGATAATTGTCGTTTCGAACCCTGTCCTAAACTATTGGAAATCACGTTATAATTTTTTTGTGAAGAATTATGATATTCAAAGCTTTTGATTCAAAGTTAAAATATTGAAAAAAAAATTATGTCAAAGTTATTCAAACATTTGAAATCTTCACTTCCTGTTTACTATACGTAAAAAGAAACAAATTTGTAATTCGATAAAAACTTTAAAAATTGTATCCTTTTAACTTTCAGGAACGATATTTTTTAGATATTTTTACAAATTGATTGATATAAATAATAAGCATTCAAAAAGTACGGATTTCATACTTCGTAAATTTTTAAAAGCTCATAACTCGGCAATAAAGCATCATACGAAAAAAAGAATGTAATTGCATATCCATGTCCACTAGAACTATAACTGACCAGAGTATGAACAATTTTCACAACTTTATTTTCGTTGTCCGCTTCACGTGAAATGCCCCATTACATAGATATAGCAAAGTGTATAGTTTATTAGTTTTTTTGGCATCTATTTTTGTTAATTTTATAGCAATCATAAACATCAGTAACAAACATAATTAAAAGAATATTTACATTGTTGCAAGTGGCGATTTAGAGGAAACCGTTAAATTTTACGCTTTCGCTATTATATTCTTGAAGGTCATTTTTGTTAAATATATACAAAAATTATAAGGGTTAAAGTATGAAATTGCCGATTTGTACTGAAAAATTAAAATTAGTTTTTTTTTAAATTTAACATATTTATTTAATCGAAATAATTACCATAATTATCTATACATTGCTGCCATCTAATAGGAAGGTCATTTATGCCTTTGCGATATAACTCTGATAATCTAGATTCGACAAACTGTGTGAAAGCATTTTGTACTGCCTCCTGAGAAGAAAACTTTTTATCACGTAGAAAATTGTCCAAATCACGAAAAAAATGGTAGTCCGTTGGAGCAAGCTCTGGCGAATACGGAGGGTGACGAATGGTTTCTAATTGCAGTTCCTGTAGAGTTAAAACGGTTTCTCGTGCTGTATGAGGTCTCGCGTTATCACGGAGCAATAATGGTGAAGATCGATTCATGAGTCGGGGCTGTTTCACTGCTAGTTTTGCTATCATTGTTCGGAGTTCGGCACAGTAGACATGCATATGTTATTGCTTGACCAGATCAGAGAAAGCTATAGTGAATAACACCATGCTGAGACCACCAAACAGTTGCCATTACTTTTTTATTGGTAAGCTTTGCTTTAGGACACTGTTGCGGCGTTTGACCTGGAGTCAGCGATTGCATTTTTGATCGTAAAGAATCCACTTTTCATAACATATAACAATTCGATCCAATATTCCTTCATTTTTCAACACGCGTTTCTTTCCGCAGATCAGTCACGTTTTAATCCATGCCGCTAATTCCTGGGTAGTTTGGCTCGGATCGGCTTCCACCATCTCTTTCAATTCATTGTAGTTCACCTGTGTGGGCGGTCTTCCACGTGGGTGGTTCTTCAAATCAAAGTTTCCATCACGAAAGCATTTAAACCAAAATCGCACGGTGCGTTCATTAGTAGTGCCCTCTCCAAACGCAACATTGATATTGCGAGCTGTTTCTGCCGCGTTAGTTTCGCGTCGGAACTCTTATTGAAAAATCACTCGAATTTTCGAAGTATCAATCTTGTCTAAGCTGAATAAAAAAAAACAACTGAAAGTCGATAATCGAATGTTGCACATTTTTTAAAAGAAGAACTACATAGGTACCATGTGAAAATGCACTCGTGAGCAAAAAAATCGACTCAGACGACACATCTGTAGTCGCAAGTCACTGGAAAAAAACTGAAAGCAAATATATTTTTTTCATAGTAAAATCTTAAAGCTGCTAGTATTAGCTTCAAAATGATATAAAATATTGTAAGGTTTATTGCTCACACAACCCAACAATATGTTATGATCAGTAACACCACCCTTTTTACGCTTGTTTACAATAGTGCTAATTAAGGGTTACTGACCCATATAAAAGGTTATCTACCTGACCCACTCTTATCAGTTAGCCGTCAAACGTCAACCGATACACATCTCCGTTATCAACAATCAAGAATTCTACCTGAAAATGGACACAACAAGCGATTTAGCAGCTCAAGCGATCACCCTATTGCGACAAGGCCAGAGTCAGCGTGAAGTGGCACGTGCACTGAACATGAGCTAGTCTGCTGTTTCCAGAGTTTACTGTCGTTACCAGGAGACTGGTGGCTTTAATCGAAGACGCGGTTCCGGTAGAAAAAGGTGCACATCAGAGAGAGATGACCGATTTATTGTCAGCACATCGTTAAGACATCGGGCTTTCACTGGCGTTCAAGTCCAACAAGAGCTCAGAGAAACGCGAGGAGTAGCTGTGAGTGGCTGGACAGTCAGAAGACGACTTAAGGCAGCTAGGCTTGAGCCAAAAAAGCCAGCTACTGGCCCCAAATTAACCCCAGACCACCGAGCAGCCCGCCTACGTTTTGCTGGAGAACATGTTGATTGGACTGACGAACAATGGAGCACCGTTCTCTTCTCAGACGAAAGTAGATTGTGCTTGCATGGTAGTGATAGAAGAGGACGTGTCTACAGAAGACCTGGGGAAAGATTCGCGCAGTGCTGTATCAAAGAAAATGTTGCTTTTGGAGGAGGTTCCTGGATGGTGTGGGCCGGCATTTCAAGCGAGGCAAAAACCAAGTTGGTTTTTATTGAAACTGGCGGTCGAATGGGAGGATTGAAGGCGATCCGATACATCGAAGAGATTTTAGAGGATCACGTCGTTCCCTACGCCGGTTTCATTGGCGAAAACTTCGTCCTAATGCACGACAATGCCCGTCCACATACTGCAAGTTCCGTCCGGCAGTATTTACAGGAGGTCGCAATTGCCGTTATAGACTGGCCAGCGCGTAGCCCGGACTTAAATCCTATCGAGCATTTGTGGAATGATCTTAAAAGAAAAGTTCGTGCTAGAAATCCTGCACCAGACACGATGGCGGACCTCAAAGCAGCGCTAATCGACGAGTGGAATAGCATCGAACAAGATCGAGTAAGGAAACTTATTCGATCCATGAAAAAGCGTTTGGAAGCTGTTATTAGGGCCAGGGGGGGCAACACTAAATATTAAAAAAATAATTTTAATGAAATTATTGTTTTGACGAATTTTACGTGGTATTTTCTTTACCGTCAACCATCACTTTTTTTATTGCTTAAGACTCCATCTCGTTCAATATTTTTTCTTTACCAGAAAACATTTTTTAATAACAACATAGACCACTCATTTTAAAGCCAAAACAATGAACTTTGAGATGTTAAAATCAGAAATATAATAAAAGCTTCCGATTTTTTGCTAGAGCTTTTTAACCGCAAGCGTGCGCCCTGAGTCGATTTTTTTGCTCACGAGAGTAGTTTCACTCAAAAATCTTAAACCATGAAGGTTCTATGTCAATTCAGAGTACCTATTACAATAAAACGGCAATTACATACTTTAACTTTTATTATTTAAGTTGCTCTTATTATTTATGGGCTATTTTATATATTTATTTACTCACGATAAAAATAATCTGTACAGGTACAATTGTGTCTATTCCTTAGAAGAAAAAACAATAAATACTTTGAGTGGGAAACAGATAGTAAATAGATAATAAATTTTGAAAAACAACTAAAATATAACAAAAACAAAAGTTATATCTCAATACAGGCATTGTGTGCGATAATTATACATGTTTATTCGTAATTTACAGATTAGACAAAGTAAAGCTACATATTTTTCGTCACTGGACGTCTCATTATTAAGACTGTGAGTCTATGCTCAATCTCCTTTCAATCTAATATTATATTACAGGGAATCTAAACCAACCTGGACCTAGTGGAATTACACGAGTGCGTTCACAAGCTAGCAGTGAAGAAGCATTTAGTGGTAATTTCTTTCATCTGTTGCATTAATATATATAGAATATAGCAAAGTATATAGTTATATTGGTTATTAGTTCTCTTTGAGATCTATTTTTGGTAATTTTATAGTAATTATTAGCGACTCACTCTCGCTCCGCTCGGGATCGTCCCTAGGTGATTCTTTAAATTGACGTAACTTTTTTATTTATCAACGGATTATAAAAAAAAAACAGCTACTAAATATTAAGTAAAGCTTACCACAATATATTAGTGAAAACCGGATTCAAAGCGATTAAGCCGTTTCTGTAATTAGCGCGTACAAACGCACAGACAAACAGACAAACATTCTACAAATTATGGTTTACCTAGTAGACCTAGTGGAATTACACGAGTGCGTCCACGAGCTGGCAATGAAGCATCATTTAGTGGTAATTTCTTTCATCTGTTGTATTAAAATATATAGAAATAAAAAAAATTGCAAAGTACGTACGAGGAGCGGCTGATAAGATTAAATAATAGGGGTTAAAGTATGAAATTGCCATTTTATTGTAATATGTGAAATTTCCTCGCTATTCCACTAAATTGTTGCCACAATCTTCAACGTTGACTTTTCCAATTTAAATTTCTTTGGTGGTCTTTCTTTTTTATTTCTTTTCTTTCTTAATCTATAGTTCTTCTGTTATTTGCCGTAATTTAATTATTCGATCTGTAAGTACTCCTTTTTCGACTTTTTGGGACATTTTGTTTGATCCCGACCGTCACCGTGGGGGGCTGGGGCGGGGGTAGTCTTCACTGATCTCTCATCCTTGTTGAAATAACCGAGTCCATTTTTTTACCATCGTGTATGAAGATGCATAATCCTAAAGAACCGATGACATCACTTCAAAAATCTCTTTTGGCGTATTTTCTTTTCTTAACAAGCAATTTAATTACAGTGCGGTGATTCAATTTGCGAGAATTTTCAGTTTCCGTTGTGTGTTTGTTTGTCTTTCTTTCACGTCGAAACGTCCTGGCCGATTGGCGTGATTTTCGTGTGGAGATAGTTGGAGGGCTGGAGAGTGACATAGGCTACTTTTTACCGCGGGAGATTATCTCTTTCCCACGGAAGAACACGTTATAATACAATCCAAAAAATATTTATGATAAGAATTACTTTAAACTTGGTATAAATGCTCTTCAATACAATGAATTAAATACGAGTTTTAGCATTTTTCGAAATTCGTCTCATAAGGGGGTAAAATAAGACATGAAAGTTTGTATGAAACGTACCTTTTGAGTTTATTTGTAGTTTTAGCAGGTTCTGCTAGTATCCCCCCCAACGTGCGTTCACCTTGTCGTGGTGGGGGGGCTCAGTAGTGCCCGGCAATCCAACCGGGCGCGAAGCTAAGAAACGTACAGGGAGGTTGCCCACTTCGGTGGGCGGTGGGAGGTGGCCCTCTTCGGGGGGCGGTGTACCATGCGGGTTGCTCCTGGTACTTCTCTGATAGCAGAGTGGACCTTGGAGCAACCCCATGGTTGTGGTGGTCTGTTTTGGCAGACCTGCCGTCGGGGCGTCGTATTTGAATGCGTAAGCGATCCTGCGACGCCCCATTAAGACGGGGGAAGGTTTTGTTGGGTTTTAGTGGGTAGTACTGGCTGTATTACGCCGGTGAGTCCCACACGTCGTGCGTAAATGCATTTCCCAACGTTAAAAAAAAAAAAAGGTTCTGCTAGTATATTATAATAATGAATCTATAAGGTATAGTTATAAATATAATTTTTATTTATTGCTGTTACCAGATCAACATAATTCGCCCGACAAAACAATTTTTATCGAGATAGAGAAATGGATGGAATCGTATGGTTACAAAGGACCGTCTTCTGGAACTTTCAAAGTACCAAGACTGCCTGCACGATTGCGTAACAAAGCGCAAGGAGCCTGTCAACAACGCGGTGACGATGGAAATCTATCAATTAGAGGTAGTCAAAGATCAGCAAGTCCAGTATCCACAATAGCACCTAGTCAAAGATCAGCAAGTCCAATATCCACAATAGCATCAGATATAATGGATATTGAAAATGAAGTAAGCGAACCACAGCCTGGAACTTCGTCAGATGACATAGACACGGTAATATTATATACAGTATTCCATCTTCATACAAATAGCCGGAAATCGAGTATTACCTACGCGCCTTGAGTTTGGTATACACTCGGTAGACAACCGTCCGGGGCTTCCAGATCGTATAATTCTATACGAAAATTGTATAAGATGGTTATGTTATGTCACTTTTATAATTGGATACCAAAATAAACATTTTATTCCTCCCGTCACTTCGGTAATGTCAAACAAAAAAGTATCGAGAAATCGTATTTTTTAAAAATAAAAATTAAAGTATTCTTAATTTAACTTTTTATCCGAATGTGGATTTTTTATAGTATTAAATTTAACAATAAAGCTTTTCGTACGTCTCAGTCAAGGCGCAAAAATTTTTAAATCTGAAATTTATAAGGGTCACATACTACCCTTATAAATTTGAGATTTTTTAGTTAAATCTCCTAATAATAGTTTTTAAATAAAAAATATAATATTTGAAATCACAAAATTAGAAAGAAACTCAAGTAGATAGATGAAATTAATATACTGGCCGGCGGGCACTCGGGCAGCCCTGTCGCGTGGGTACCCACGTGTCGCTCGGTTGTAGGTAATTATTTTAAGGACAGGGCCGAGTTGCAATACTGTATGAATAACTTTACCGTGACTTAGATATTCGTAATTCACAGACACGAAGAAACTCGAGGGAAAGAACCAACGTAAAGAAAAAAGTAGACAAAGGCAAATTAGTGGATGCGCCAGTATTTCGACCGACACCTACCGAATTTAAAGTAAGCGAATATTTTTTTTTTGTTTTCTATCTTATTATAAATTATATTTGAAACAAACTGACGCCAAAGACATCCTGTCTAAGTTTTAATAAATTTGCTAATGAACTTGTGAGTTGTCTACAAAAAGCACTGCCAGATTTTCCCCGATTTCTTTTATCGCATCGAACTTAATTTGCATTAAAACCTTATTCCGACTATTAAGAATATTAAAAAAAAATAACTAAAGTGATTCAGCAAACAAATAATTTTATTTTTATTTATTTAAATATTTATACCTAAAACTGGTAAAAAAGACTATAGCCAGCTAAAGTCTTTTAAACCAATAAGCCTCTCTTAATTCTTACTTAAAGCAATGGAGAAGGTACTGGATAGGTATACAAGAGATAAAGTCTTGACTAAAAGTGCAATCCACTTTAACCAACATGCATATCGTAAACGTAAATCAACCGAGACTGCCATTACAAATAGAGACCAGATGGAAAAGGCGTTAGAAGACAAGGAAATAGCACTCTGTGCATTTCTAGATATCGAAGGTGCTTTTGATAACTCTTCTACTTCGCTGTTGGTAAATGGGTTGATGACCAAAAATGTCGACCCAACAACGGTAAAGTAGGTGAAATCTATGCTCACTAGCAGAAGAGCAAAACTAGCCCTCCACGATACAACTATCTACATATCCACAGCAAGAGGATGTCCGCAAGGGGGAGTTCTATCCCCATTATTGTGGACCCTTGCTGTGGATGGACTACTACACCAACTGGCAGAACTCCGCCTTGATGCGCAAGGCTGTGCTGATGACTTGGTAATCATAGCAAGGGGCTTCTGCCAATCCACACTCGCAAGCATAATGCAAAAGGGTCTGAACATTGTCAGTGACTGGCTTGTTAGAAGTGACCTATCAGTTAACGCTGACAAAACTATTATTGTACCCTTTACAAACAAGCGAAAGCTAGATAAACTAGTCATGCCAAAGCCTAATGGCAAACAAATCGCATTTTCCACGCAAGTCAAATACCTGGGACTATCATTAGACCAAAAACTGACGTGGAACCCGCATCTAACTGCAGTCCTAAGTAAAGCCAAGATGGCATTAAGAATGAGCGGCCGCATGTTGGGTAGTAATGAGGATCCGTAACGTTTTTAGTTGAGAATGTAGATTTATAGAGCTAAGAAATCCTTAACATACAGTGCAAAAATTTTTGTTCTACGACAAAAATTGACGAAGTTATGAAGAAATTACTAGCGAAGTTCACTGCGTGGCCGCCGCGATAGCTGTGACGTCATAGTGACGGTCGCCGCCAGTAAGCCGCTGGCAGCAATAAGGCGCGCAGTGTTTTAATGACTTTGAAACAAATTAAGTGTCCGATTTGTGTCTAATTCACCTTTTTAATTATGTACTATTTGTACATAATTAAAAATATAATGTATAGTGCCGATATGTATAAACACTACTTTTAAAACGCCAGAACAACTAATTTTTAACGTACCCGAAGGACCCAGAACTACGTAAAAAATGGTTTTCCGTTGTAAAAAGAGATGATAAAACTCCACCCTCTGCCCAGGCTACAAAACATTGCTGTGAAGGTGATTTTGATGTACGTAACTACATAACTATACTTATTATTTAGTACGAGTAGATATCTTCTATACATATAATAAAATTGTAACTAAGCCGAATCTGTACATTAAATATTTATGGCCGAATCTATAGTTTTTAGAATTTTTGTCTGTCTGTCTGTTACCGCATCACGGAAAAACCACTGGACGGATTTTGATGACATTTGGTATGATGATAGCTGGTTATCCGGGTCAACGTATAGGATACTTTTTACCGCGAGAAAACATCTCATTTCTGAGAAAATATACAAAACTGCAATGTAAGAGTATACTAATACGTAAAACTGACGTAATTTTCCATATCTTCTTGTAACTGAAATATAAAATATACTTATATGTATATTTTAATTTATTTGCTTCTAACAATATGGTATTGCTGAGGCAGATACATAGCTATTCAAAAATATTATCATTCACTATTTGCTTTTTACCCGAGTATGTCCCTGTGTCATTGACCTTTGAATAACACATAGAAATGGGAACGGTCGAATAGGTAGGTATGTAGGTTTATCCACAAAAGTAATAAAAAAAGTAGTTAGGTTTTTAATAAATAACAGGTTTAAAATAAGAGAATTCATAGGTACACTTACACTATACGTAATAGTAAGTATCAACTTATTTATTACTAGCATTGCCCGCGGCTTCGCCCGCGTTCAGATGACCAAAAACCAAATAAAATAGCGCTATCGTTATTTTTTTTCAAGAGAAGCTATTTTTAATAGTGTTTGCTTTATTTAGTACGTAAGTTACCTTGCTAAAATATATATAGTATCATCGTGGTTTTATTCTAACCAGTTTTTTTTTTCTCAGAAATGAGATATTTTCCCGTTGTAAAAATATCCTATATGTTGACCCTGATAACCAGCTATGACCATACCAAACATCAAAATCCCTCTAGTAGTTTTTCTGTGATCCGGTAATAGACAGACAGACAAAAATTCTAAAACTATAGATTTGGCCTCTGCATCGATAATGTCTTATTTCAATAATATTTTCCAAAAAATATTTAATGTACAGATTCGACTTAGTTAGAATTTTATTATATGTATAGATGTAGATACTTTCTAAATATATGTAAATATCACACACTTGAAAAAACACCAAATAAGTAATTACTAAATATAGTAGCTAACCGCGTCGCGTGCTGCTCCGTCGAATTGTGAAGTAAGAGGCCTGGGCGGTGGGCCGGCTAAACGTTCGGACCGTCACAGTGACGTCACACGCACCCGCGTACATGGATTTTGCCGGCAGGAACGACGTAATGTTTATTACTTAATATCTTCGTAAGTTGTGGTCCGATTTAGATAAGTCTTATAAAATAACGTGGATACTAGTTCTATGGATTTGGTTATAACTGTACTGATCCTCATTGGGGGTTAAGTCCCAAAAATACACTTTGGACCTACACTGCCATTGTGAGAACGATAATTACCTATGCATCGGTAGCCTGGTCCAATAAGGCCAAGCAAACGACAGCCATTCAAAAACTAGACAGCCTACAAAGGACAGCCTGTCTAATGACCACAGGAGCCATGTCTACGTGCCCTGATCAGGCACTAAATGCACTACTCGGGTTGCCACCTTTAGACCTATTTATACAAAAGGAGGCACAAGCCAGTATGCACAGAGCTAAAATCCAAGGCAGAACTCATTGGCTCTCACGAAAAATCAGGACTTTACAGGACTCACTGCAAGAAATGCCGCTACTTGGTATGATGACTGATACCATGTTAATTCGGCACTTATTTGAAAAGTATTATATAATTGAATTTCCGTCAAGGACGGGACTAAAAGCCAGATAACTCATAAAAACGGATCTCTAATCTGGTTTACAGACGGCTCAAAAATAGAAACAAAGGTTGGCTGTGGGACACATGGAGAGCGACCGAGGTTCAGCAAAAATATACACCTCGGACAATTTGCCTCTATTTTCCAAGCAGAAGTCTATGCTATTGTAGAATGTGTAGTAGCTAATCTGTCTAAGCACTATACAAATCAAACTATCTAATCTATCTCTCTCTCTATATATTTTTTTATGATTCAATATATATATATATATATATTGAATCGGGATTTATTTATTTCATTTAATTCGTAGTAACAAAAATGGATACAAATATACTCCTTAATGTAGCAACAATTACTGTTTAACAAAACATTGGCAATGGAGTGCTGAGACGCACGCACTAATATATATATTCAGATAGCCAAACTGCACTACTAGCGTTGGACTCAAACACAGTCTCATCAAAGCTAGTGGAGCAGTGCATGGACCGACTAAACCTCTTAGCAAAAAGCAATAAAGTAGTGTTAAGATGGGTACCGGGTCATGCAGGGGTAATTGGCAACGAATGTGCTGATAAGCTCGCTAGAGAGGGAGCTCTTGGTATGCAGCAGGGCCCTGAACACTTTTGCGGAATACCTAAGAGCCTAGCTCAAAGAACCCTAATGATAGCATGTCTCAAGACTGCAAACAAGGTTTGGACTGAATCAAATGAATTGAATCACTCCAAGACATTAATTAAAGCCTACAACAAAAGGTTTAACAATCTTACGCTAGGGCTAAACAGAAAAACCTTACGAATACTGGTAAGGGCTTTTACTGGACACTGCTGCTTAAATAAGCATATGTTCAATCTGGGGCTGAGCGAAACGCGAACCTGCAGAAAATGCAGGAAGGCAGACGAAACGCCACTTCATCTTCTGTGGGAATGTGGACCGCTCATGCACAAACGCAGTATTCATCTAGGAAAACAGTTTCTAAGCCTAGATGAAATAAAAAGTGTGTAACCCTAAGAAAATCCTGCAGTTCTTAACATCAGCAGGGTTTAGTGGTTCAATCTAGTACAAAATAGCGGCGATCACAATAGACCAGAAATGGTCGCAGTGACACGAAATAGCCGCAAAACAAATAATTTTTTTTATCAAACTCCAAACCTCTGATAGATATCATATAATATGGTAGCGACATAATTTTTTTTATACAAACTGTATTTCCTTTATATTAAATATTATAGTTCTAAAACGTTTTAAATTGGTTGATTTAATTATTTTACGGGACTATTTACACAGTAATGTTGTTATTGATGAAAAAAAAAAATAGAATTCAAAAATAAGTTTTGTGAATTATATCAAACGAATGACAGTATGTATGGCATAATACCTCTTTATTTAAAAATGTTTAAAGTAACTATAAACTTTCAGGATCCTGTGTCATACTTCGAAAAAATTATGCCACTGGCTAGTAAGTATGGACTGTGTAAGGTAGTCGCGCCGACTGATTTCTCGCCAACTTGCAATATCCAAGACACTATTAGATTCCTGGTGTTCAACCAGTACATAACGCGTCTCTATAGCCGCTGGGGTCCTGCCACCAAGGAACTCTGCACTATACGGTCGTATCTCGCATCACAGAAGATAGTGGCCCAACCTCCTCGGGTTTGTATTTCTTTAAAGTACAACTTGGCTGTCGATTTGATGGCCAAAGTCTAAGTAATTTAGCTGGTTACAAAGTCAATGTCGCTCTGCCTACATCGAGTACACCTTATCAAGACATCATGTAATATTTAAATACAATTTAAGAATATTCCTTGATGAGACAATTTAATAATATTTCTTGATGAAACGTTATTTTATTCTCCTAATCCGTCGTAAAAATGTTTTTTTTTTTTGTAGCTTGGAGGAATGGAGGTGAATCTAGCGAAGTTGTTTCACGTAGTGCGGCGTCTCGGTGGACTCAGGGCGCTCAATAAAAAAGTATGGAACAAAGTCGCTGAAGAAGTCCAATGTGGAAAAATAGCTAACCCAGATAAGCGGTTAGATCAACTGTATGTGAAACATCTGGTGCCATATGAGACCCTCACAAAAAGTAAGTGTACACGATTGGATTATTATTATAAATTCCAAAGTTTGTACAAAATTATGTATAGTGACTTGAGAAAGCGCGGCGAAGTTGAACCGAAGTTCGGCCGATTTTTTTATTTTCACCGAATGTTCGGCTGAAGTTCGTATTCGATTTAAACCACATTCGGCCCATCTCTAATATATACCGTATATAATTTTATATGCATTTAATAAAAAGCTGTTATTTTGACATTACAAACAGACACTTCAGTTTTATTTATCTGTATATGTTTATCTATACATATAATAAAATTGTAACTGAGACGAATTTGTACATTAAATATTTTTTGGAAAATCTTATTAAAATAGTCATTATCATCGATACAGAGGCCAAATCTATAGTTTTCTGTCTGTCGGTCTGTTACCGCATCACGGAAAAACCACTGGAGGGATTTTCATGAAATTTGGTACCAGCTATCACCTGGTTATCCGGTTCATCATATAGGATACTTTTTTCCGCGGGAAAATATCTCATTTCTGAGAAAAAATAATAAAACTGCATTGTAATGCCGCGGCTACATTAGCGGGATACGGCGAATATTCGTTTTAGCGCGACAAGAGTGTGGCCTAGTAGTTCGGCGCATCGCGTAGTATTCGGGCGATGACAAATGCTTATCGCGGCACTGTCGGTAAACTGGCGCGCATCAAAGGGTTTTAGCGCGACAATATTCGCTTGCGTGGCTACACTTCGCCACTTGAGTTAAGATTTTGAACGGAACAAACGTGTGATATTTATAAAATTTAATCTTCAGCGTTCAGTCTGAATCTTCTTCATCCAGGTTTTTCAAATCTCACCGGGTAGAAACATCTGCATTGCATAGTGGAAAACGGGTTTGACATACATTGAGGCTTGGGTCTCATACTGCTCAACAGAGGATCAGACGCTAATAAAAGTCTGTTAAGGGCATCAAAATTGCATTGTTCGTGGGAGAAATTTCTTGAAAAGTTTTGCCTGTATAAGCGATAATGCTTATGTCTATGCATATTAATTATTAAAATCATGTGAGGCCGCCCAACATTAAGTGCAGTATGATGAGGTATATCAAATGCACCTTTTAGCCTTTCTCGGTTTTTGTTAAGAAAATTGCTTTTTGTACGATTTGCGGCCGTCCAACGAGTTTCCATTTCTTTCTTGAAATAGGAAAATTTTCGTATTAATCCACTTTTACATTCATTTGGGAATGAAGGATTTCCAAGGATGCTGACTTTTACTGAATCCAATTTATCGGCATAATTTCGCTCCCTATGTTTTTAAGCATATTAAATATCTCCAAGCATCTTAACACCAGATGGTCCTAAAACAAGTAAAAAAAAGACTTTAAAAAAACATTGGTAAAATTAACGTGGTTTTGGTAATATGCGATTTCAAAAAGATTAAGTTCTATTTTAGAACGGGCAAATTCAGGCAGGGTTTTTTTAATTAGTTACTAAGGCGACTCTCTGGGGATATCAAAAACTCAAAATTATAACCGCATATTACCCGCTTGTATTACTAGTATGCTCATAAACATTTTAAACTCAAAAATATAAGTAAATTTTAAGTACACTTCAAATAATATTATTTTTACGTGTTATGTGAGTATATATTTCTAATATAACGAAACATCATCTATTATGGGAAGCACCACAATTATCTCCACAAAATCAATTAAATATTTATAAAAACCAGAACAATATCGTTATATGAAAACGTAATATTTAGTCAGTACACGAAAGCAGTCTAATGACGACTGGTGGCCGAAAGTTTGTCAAGATAAGGACAAACAAAGGCGATGTACACGTACCTGGACTCTTCTGCTTTTGTATTATTGAATATTGGCCAGCTTTTTGGTTCAAATACGCCATAGTGCGACGTATTATATAATAAAAAAATATATTTTTATTTTCAGATATTGTTGTTATGTTGTAAATAGTGTTTTCCCAAAAGATTTTCAGTAAATTAAAAATGAAATATATATAAATTTTAACCTTAAAACTGCTCTTATGCGAATTATTAATACAAAACTACACAGAGGAGGTAAACTCCGCATTTTTGTAATTCCATTTCATATTAACAGGAGAACGCGTAAATATGTTAAATAAAATGGATCAACTATGGCTGAAAAGGAATAGCAAAATGGTCGAACGTGCAGCCAACCCCCTGCACCGACAGAAACGTTTGCTGGGCGAGTCAGATTCGTCTGACGAAGAGGATGATGAAGAGCGCTATCCTCATATGATTAAGGCCTTGAAGGAAGCTGAAGAGTGTATAACAAGGGGTCTGCACATGAACCTCCATACCTTCAAGCGAGTATGTATTATTCAATCCTTCTATCTAATAATTATGATGTAACAATACATCACACTTTTCTCTTTATATTTGTTACAATAAATCATCCTAATCATACTGGATCGAGATCCCACTGCAAGATTGCTACGTTCATGGCATATTTAATCGAAATCAATTTTTTATATACAATAATAAAACGGACAATATGTTTTGACCGGGGTGCCTATCCAAATGTACCCGCTAGAATGTTTAATTAAGTAAATAATAGTTGACTTTTTGGAATAAAAACGATGCATTTGTTATTACAATGAATTATACTCCACTTCATAGAACTACGTAGAGATCTTGAAAAATGATAGCTGCCGTTGCGCATTTGGCCGCAACCTCTTCGCAGCCAGGTGTAAGCGGGTCATATTTTGGGACATTTATACGTTCAGCGCGTATGTTCATCATGTATATATCAAATTAAAGCTAATTTTTTTCTGTGCATGATAAAATACCTCTCACCTATGTAAAAGTGGCCGCAATGGAAAGAAAAGAAGGAAAGAATATAATATATTTGTCAGACAATAACAACATGGCAAGAAGCAGATAACTAACGCGCTAACTCTCTTGCACTTTAATCTATCTTTTCCATGCTAATAATGTAGCAATCATGCAGTCGGATCTTAGTCCATACATAGTTTTTAATTTTTAATTAACAATTATTTTAATTAGATTGCATACAACACATTCAAGAAGCACTTCCCGCGTGGCGGAGCGATTACAGAAGTAGAAGACTCCTATTGGAGTTACGTACTACTCGGCTCCGAGCACGTGTGTGTCAACAGCGCTTCCATTGACACCGGTCCAGAGGGCTATGGTTTTGCCAAAAATGAGGATGAACCTTATGGCAGCCATCCCTGGAACTTAAAGGTAAGGGTGAAATTTAGTTGAGGTAAATCACAAACTCTCCCACGTAAGACGTGGGACGTCTCTAATAGTTAGTAAATAAATATAATTGTATTTAAAGTGAGAGTAAAATTTAAAAGACATTGCTAAATATAAAAACCAACATATTTTTACATTTGCTAAAGTTATATAGTTATAGAATAAAGAAAGTAAAGTATTAATATTGTCATAATTAAATCATTAAAGAAATTTATATATTATAGACGTTAAGCAAAAACAACGGCAACGTGCTACGTCTGCTCGGGCCGGTGCTAGGTCTGACCGTTCCCACCTTACACCTCGGCATGTTGTACTCTACGAGCTGCTGGCACCGCGACCCGCACGGCCTGCCCTGGATGGAGTACATGCACCAGGGCTCATCGAAGATATGGTCATTGTTTTTTATTATAATTGTGGATTTGTTAAAGATGCCAGCGAATGTATAACGCATAAAGCTATATTTTATAAAGTGTCAAGTACGCTGCGAAATTTTGATTATTTTTTCTTACTTTTGATTACTCGGTCAGAGCGATTTGTATATTTTATGAATTATACATAAACTGTATCTTATTTTAGGTATGGGATATCGGACCAGGAAAGTGAAAGGTTCAGACAAGCGGTGGAAATCTTATGCCCCACATCACGCCAAAATAAAACTTTATGGCTCCCATCAGACATAACAATGATACCGCCTAATTTATTGTTGGAACATGCTGTGTCACTCTCCCGAGTGGTTCAAAATCCAGGAGAATTTATTATTGTATTCCCAAAGTCTTATTCTTCTTCTATCTGCACTGGATACACCGTTTCAGAGAGTGTATACTTCGCGACAAACTCTTGGGTGCACAGCATCAACCAAGTGTTTCAAGTAAGATATTTCGTTTTCTTATTTAACAAAAATATTAACGAAATAAATTCATAGTTTTGATATTTTTCTTTTCCGTTATTACTTTAAAGAAACGGCAATTTTGAAGTCAACATAAATATTCTCTCTATTCTTAACAGATCGACTTTCGAGACTATAGTAGTTTAATTGATTGAACGGTTGACTACATTAACTTTAGTAGAAATGGAAATAAGACGTTTTAATAGTGCTCTTAAGTGTAATTACATACATAAATGCATGGGAATATAAACTGATATAATTGTTTGGTTTTATAATGAGTGCAGGAGTTACGCGAAAGCTGCGAGCCGTCGATGTTCTCGCTCGAGCAGATACTGATCTCCGCGGCTCGGGACCCCCGCGCGTCCCTCACCATTCTGCAGCTGGTACACGCGAAACTTGCCCAAATTATCGAGGAAGAGCTCGACAACCGCGCCATTGTCGAGAGCCATGGACTTGTGGTCAGTTTTGTTGGTATATTATTCATAGTGGTACAGTTATATTCTTAGTACTACGTATTATATTTATAAAATTAAATATATTTCTATATGATGTGATTTTAAATATTGATTTATTTGTAATTAGTAATGTATTATTTTATAGCCCCGCATGCATACACGCGAACATACCTCGGGGTCCTGGATTGTTCGCGAAGAAGATGAATGCGAAATTTGCCGCACTGCACTATATATATCACGAGTAAGTTTCCCATTTTATTTTATATCAAATCCAAATCATGCTTTTCTATACAATAAAATTAAAATATTTAAAATGTATGTCGGTCTAAATTATTGTCTCGAAAATATATCGTTAAGGTGCTAGATATAGCCAATGACCTTGAGCGTTGCGCCCCCATCTTACCTCTTCACCCTTTCGTATTACGATAAAATCTACACTATAATAAAACTGTAGAGTTCGAATGTCTGTACATAGAAAAAAATGCTAAAAACCGAGTCAGTGGGATGTAAGGAGACAAATAGAACAAATCCAGATTTTTTGCAATTTTTTTGTTTCTCTGTCTGTTTGTCTGTTTGTACGGGCTAATCTTCGAATCTATTGGAGCGATTTAAATAAAATTTTGCATGGTGGTATCTTATATCCCCGGTCAACATCTCAGATACTTTTCATCCCGAAAAATTAAAGAGTTCCCTTGGCATAGTCAAAAACCTTAGTAACTTTTACAGCTTAGTACACAAAAACTACTGATTGGATTTTAATGAAACTTTACAATAATATAGTTCAATAACAAATAGGTTACCTTTTATCCCAGAAAAATGTACGGTTCCCGTGGGATAGATGTTTTTGTTTATTTGTAACGCATTATGTACACAACATAGACCTTAAAACAATAGTTATTAAAAATTTTGTCCGTTTGTTTGCCTGTATGTCCGTTTGTCTGTTTTTTTGTGCGCGTTTCACGCGAAAAGTAATGAACCGATTTCAACGATCCTCCGTAGAAACCTTCCGCTGGCTAAGCCTTAAGACATACATACATCAAAACAATATACTGAAAAATTGTAGGTCTTGAATAGTCTTACAGAAAATTTCTGAATAGTATATGTCTATCTCCTAAGCAATATAATATCTATTCTTATCTATGCGTATAATAAAACTAACTTAGTCAAATAGATGTGCGCGTTTCACCCAAAAAGTACCTAACCGATTTTAACCAAATTTTGTATAGTGATAGCTTAGTACTCTGGTCAACATTTACGATACCCTTTACGACAGGCAAATTATTCATTCCCACGGGAAAACAACTGGTTCTATCGAATCGTTCTTAAAAATTTATATGCCTAACGCCGGCTCAATGTTAAGAGACTTATTTATTTATTTATTGGTAATCTTACAGCGTTACAAAAATAATAAAATACAGTTTGAGCACAAAGTTATTAACAAATATGGGCAACGTTAGATTACTCTATTATGATAGAGATGCGTGCGTGCGTGCGTGCGTGCGTGCGTGCGTGCGTGTGTGCGAGTATATGTGTGTATGTGTGTTATGTGTAACGGTATGAGTTTATGTACACCTATCTATATAGATTTTGTTTATGTGAAGACATTAAGCATTTTAATTTTTTAAGAACGTGCAAAGATAGATTAAAGTGAAAGAGAGTTAACGCGTTAGTTATCTGTTTGTTGCCATGGTAACCGTTGTTTTAGTCTGATAAATGATATATAATATTATATTCTTTCCTTCTTTTCTTTCCATTGCGGCCACTTTTACATAGGTGAGGGATATTTTATCATGCAAAGAAAAACATTCGCTTTAACTTGATATATATATATTATGAATATACGCCATGAACGTATAAATGTAACAAAAAGTTTTTTAATGACTCGCAACCACTTTTGCGGCCACTTTTACATAGGCTGACGTGATTTGGATAGGCACCCCGGTCAAAACATTTTGTCCCTTTTATTCTTCTTCTTCTTCTCCCTGCCCATTTCCCAAATCACTTGGGGTCGGCGCAGTACTTCTTCAGTGTACTGCTGATAGGATTTGGCAAAAGTTTTACGACCGGCCGCCTGCCTGACGTCAACCCTCCTTGGGAATGCTATTGTCTTTCTTTGTCTGAATGGTGTTAAATATTATGCACTTTCGATTTTGTTGTGTTTTAAAACATTTTTTATACTATTAATTCAATTATTAATGTTATTTTTGGATATATTTTAAAATAAATTTCGATTACACAATAAATTTTGTATTGACATTGTCAATTTTTTTTTTCTCATTTTGTCCCTTTTATTATTGTATATAAAAAAATGATTTCGATTAAATACGCGACGAACGTAGCAATCTTGCAGTGGGATCTCGATCCAGATGTATTTAAAAGTTGTACAGATATGTGTAGTATATCAACTACCTGGTATCCATAACACAAGCCTCGTAGTTTACCATGGAGGTAGTCACTAGATGGTGTTGTGTGTTAATGTCCCAACACATTTATTTAATGTATTATGTATTTATATTTTGGTACATTTACAGTTAACTTGCAGATGTAATGTTGAAATACACTTGCGGCTGTTATGAATTTATTATATGATTATCGCTTAAAGTTTGTGAGTGTATATAATAAAGTCTTTCATGTGATTTCTGTCGCAGGTGAAAGGTGTGTTCCGCAGGAATGGATCGTTGTGTCTCCCCCATGCCATACAGGTATTGGAAGACAAAGATAATAATATAGAGAAACGTACCATTGATAGCTATGAATTTGATGTATTCTTCACTGTTGAAGAATTGAACAACATCATATCCACGTCGAAGAAAAGGCTACTAAATATAAGACAAGTAACTTAAATATAACCGTCGTTATACTTCGAAGAACAGTTTTTTTTTAATCGTATCTATAAAAATGACGACTGCCTAAATATTTCTTCAAAAAATATTTATGTTCACTTCAAAAATGCCGTTTGTTTAAAAGTAATAACGCGTTATTTGAAACAAAAAAGCAAAAGAAAAATATCTATGTCATATAATAGTCCAATTTAATACGGATCGTTGTTTCTCTACCATGTCATACATGATGTATTCGAGGACAAGGATAAAACAATAGAGGAACGTGCCATTACTACCTATGAATTTGATGTATTCTTCACTGTCAAAGAATTATACGCAATCATATCCACGTCCAAGAAAAGACTTCTAAATGTAAGACAAGTTACTTAAACATAACCGTCATTATACTTAGAAGTACAGTAAAAAAACCGTACATTTGAAAATGACGACTGCCTGAGTATTTCTTCAAACTATATTTATGTTCACTTCAAAAATGCCGTTTGTTTAAAAGTAGTAACGCGTTTTTTGAAACAAAAAAGAAAAAGAAAAATATCTATGCCATGTAATAGTCCAATTTAATAAGTCTTGAAGTGTACGTTCCGCAAGTACGGATCGGAGCAACTATGGCTAAAAAGGAATTAAAAAATGGTCGAACGTGCAGCCAACCCCCTGCACCGACAGAAACGTTTGCTGGGCGAGTCAGATTCGTCTGACGAAGAGGATGATGAAGAGCGCTATCCTCATTTGATTAAGGCCTTGAAGGAAGCTGAAGAGTGTATAACAAGGAGTCTGCACATGAACCTCCATACAATCAAGCGAGTATGTATTATTTAATCCTTCTATCTAATAATTATGATTTAACAATACATCACAAGTTTCTCTTTATATTTGTTACAATAAATCATCTTAATCATACATAGTTTTTTTTTTTAAATAACATAATTCTTTCTTAGATTTACGCGAATATTTGACATTTTAAATAAAACTATCTTTTCGGATTTTGTCGCGGATTTATTTGCATTTTTGTTTCCCGACGTTTCGAATGCTTTACAGCATCCATGGTCACGGGAGAGACTGAGTATAGTTGTTACAGACAGCCTACCCACAATTAACAAAATGAAAAATGCACCAATTACATTACAATATTTCTAACTTTAAAACATTTTTATAATTTTAATTGTACTTGAATATGGAAAATTATTTATTTAATTTTTGCTATTATTTTTATAATTATTACAATTTTAAAATATTAATTAGTAATCTATATTTAGTGTTGCCATTATTATATTTATAACCATAAAGAAAAATATAAAATATAGTATTAATTATTTAAGTCATATAATTGTTCTATGTGTAATTTAAAAAGTTAAAATTAATTAAGGATAATAATTTTAATTTAGTTTGCTATTATTTAAAAACAAATTACTAAGCAACACTATTAATATATACTTTTATAACTGCCTCCGTGGTGTAGTGGCTAGCATGTACGGCTGCACATCCGGAGGTCCTGGGTTCAAGTCCCGGGCCGGGCCAAGCTTAGTTATTGAGTCTTTCTGTATAAGTAAGCCTCAGTAACAGCCCGGAGTTGGGAAGTTGGCGGTGTTTCACCCCCGTGCCTCGGAGAGCACGTAAAGCCGTCGGTCCTGCGCCTTAACTCTCACTGGTCGTGTCGAGCAGTCGTCCCACCGGAGTATGAGAGTGACAGGAATAGAGAGTGCACTTGTGTCTGCGCGTACACTATAATATCTCCTGCGCAGTTGGCTAGTCTCAATGAAATTGGCCGCCGTGGCCGGAATCGGTCGGGAGAACATCATCATATACTTTTACAAATGAAAAATGAAAAATATTAATCCGATAAGCTGTCATTTTGATCTACACAGTGTGAAATTACTACATCTGCCTGTCTGTTATGTTTATATTTATTATTTGATTTTATTATATTAATAACAGGATCCCATGACGATGGTAGTACCCAGCCATCTTCCCTATTGAAATTAGGATGTTTTTTAATCTCTATGGCTTCTCGAATCATTCTAGGGCGATATCGGTTTTCTTTCGCCAGGATTTGAGGTCTATCGAAGCGAATATAATGGATTGGGCGGTCCTGACTATGTTTGCAGACAGCAGATGTTGTATTGCGACGGTGCTTCACATCAGCTATGTGTTCTTTGACCCGGGTTCTAATGGATCTCTTTGTTTGTCCGATGTAAGAGAGCCCACAATCACAATCAAGCTTGTAAACTCCTGCATCTTGTAGAGGGATGTGGCACTTGACAGGTGGTAAAAACTGACTAATTTTCTTTGGCGGCTTGAAGTAAGTTTTAATTGAAGCTCGCTTTAGAATGTAGCCAATCTTGTCAGTGACGCCTCTTATCATGTAAGGTAGGACTGCAGGGACGCGCTCGACTGTGGCTGGTTTCACTCGGTCCCTGTGACGTAGGCGCGGCACTTGCAGCTTGTTGTCTCGCAGAACTTGCTTGACATGTTGCAGCTCTCCGGCCAGGTGTTGCTCGTCACAGATCCCGCGTGCCCTCTGAAACAAAGATTTTCCCACGGTAGCTAACTGTGAAGGGTGGTGGTGAGATTCACCATTCAAGTACCTATCAGTATGGGTCTTCTTTCGATACACAGTATGACTCAAAGTGTTATCTGGGTTACGTATAACTAATACATCTAAGAAAGCTAAAAAATTATTAGACTCCAATTCCATTGTAAATTGTATTTTAGGGTTTATGGAGTTAAGATGTTCTAAGAATACAGATATTTTATCAGATAATACTTTCTTAGATTTACGCGAATGTTTGACATTATTAAATAAAACTATCTTTTCGGATTATTTCGCGGATTTATTTTGATTTTTGGTTCCCGACGTTTCGAATGCTTTACAGCATCCATGGTCACGGGAGAGACTGAGGTGTTACATGTCTTGAATGTATAGTTGTTACAGACAGCCTACCCACAATTAACAAAATGAAAAATGCACCAATTACATTACAATATTTCTAACTTTAAAACATTTTTATAATTTTAATTATAATTGAATATGGAAAATTATTTATTTAATTTTTGCTATTATTTTTATAATTATTACAATTTTAAAATATTAATTAGTAATCTATATTAAGTGTTGCCATTATTAAATTTATAACCATAAAGAAAAATATAAAATATAGTATTAATTATTTAGGCCATATAATTGTTCTATGTGTAATTTAAAAAAGTTAAAATTAATTAAGGATAATAATTTTAATTTAGTTTGCTATTATTTAAAAACAACTTACTAAGCAACACTATTAATATATACTTTTACAAATGAAAAATGAAAAATATTAATCCGATAAGCTGTCATTTTGATCTACACAGTATGAACTTACTACATCTGCCTGTCTGTTATGTTTATATTTATTATTTGATTTTATTATATTAATAACAGGATCCCATGACGATGGTAGTGCCCAGCCATCTTCCCTATTGAAATTAGGATGTTTTTTTAATTTCTATGGCTTCTCGAATCATTCTAGGGCGATATCGGTTTTCTTTCGCCAGGATTTGAGGTCTATCGAAGCGAATATAATGGATTGGGCGGTCCTGACTATGTTTGCAGACAGCAGATGTTGTATTGCGACGGTGCTTCACATCAGCTATGTGTTCTTTGACCCGGGTTCTAATGGATCTCTTTGTTTGTCCGATGTAAGAGAGCCCACAATCACAATCAAGCTTGTAAACTCCTGCATCTTGTAGAGGGATGTGGCACTTGACAGGTGGTAAAAACTGACTAATTTTCTTTGGCGGCTTGAAGTAAGTTTTAATTGAAGCTCGCTTTAGAATGTAGCCAATCTTGTCAGTGACGCCTCTTATCATGTAAGGTAGGACTGCAGGGACGCGCTCGACTGTGGCTGGTTTCACTCGGTCCCTGTGACGTAGGCGCGGCACTTGCAGCTTGTTGTCTCGCAGAACTTGCTTGACATGTTGCAGCTCTCCGGCCAGGTGTTGCTCGTCACAGATCCCGCGTGCCCTCTGAAACAAAGATTTTCCCACGGTAGCTAACTGTGAAGGGTGGTGGTGAGATTCACCATTCAAGTACCTATCAGTATGGGTCTTCTTTCGATACACAGTATGACTCAAAGTGTTATCTGGGTTACGTATAACTAATACATCTAAGAAAGCTAAAAAATTATTAGACTCCAATTCCATTGTAAATTGTATTTTAGGGTTTATGGAGTTAAGATGTTCTAAGAATACAGATATTTTATCAGATAATACTTTCTTAGATTTACGCGAATGTTTGACATTATTAAATAAAACTATCTTTTCGGATTATTTCGCGGATTTATTTTGATTTTTGGTTCCCGACGTTTCGAATGCTTTACAGCATCCATGGTCACGGGAGAGACTGAGGTGTTACATGTCTTGAATGTATAGTTGTTACAGACAGCCTACCCACAATTAACAAAATGAAAAATGCACCAATTACATTACAATATTTCTAACTTTAAAACATTTTTATAATTTTAATTATAATTGAATATGGAAAATTATTTATTTAATTTTTGCTATTATTTTTATAATTATTACAATTTTAAAATATTAATTAGTAATCTATATTAAGTGTTGCCATTATTAAATTTATAACCATAAAGAAAAATATAAAATATAGTATTAATTATTTAGGCCATATAATTGTTCTATGTGTAATTTAAAAAAGTTAAAATTAATTAAGGATAATAATTTTAATTTAGTTTGCTATTATTTAAAAACAACTTACTAAGCAACACTATTAATATATACTTTTACAAATGAAAAATATTAATCTGATAAGCTGTCATTTTGATCTACACAGTATGAACTTACTACATCTGCCTGTCTGTTTTGTTTATATTTATTATTTGATTTTATTATATTAATAACAGGATCCAATGACGATGGTAGTACTCAGCCATCTTCCCTATTGAAATTTGGATGTTTTTTAATTTCTATGGCTTCTCGAATCATTCTAGGGCGATATCGGTTTTCTTTCGCTAGGATTTGAGGTCTATCGAAACGAATATAATAGCAAAAATTAAATAAATAATTTTCCATATTCTATTATAATTAAAATTATAAAAATGTTTTAAAGTTAGAAATATTGTAATGTAATTGGTGCATTTTTCATTTTGTTAATTGTGGGTAGGCTGTCTGTAAAAACTATACATTCAAGACATGTAACACCTCAGTCTCTCCCGTGACCATGGATGCTGTAAAGCATTCGAAACGTCGGGAACCAAAAATCAAAATAAATCCGCGAAATAATCCGAAAAGATAGTTTTATTTAATAATATTTTATCAGATGGTAATATTGTGAAAGTGTCATCTACATACCGCTTGTAGAAACGAGGGGTCACAGGTGATGTGTTTAGGGCGGTCTCCTCGAAGGCTTCCATGAAGATGTCAGCTACAACGGGAGAGACCGGCGAACCCATAGCCACTCCATCCACTTGCTTGTAGAATTCATCATTCCACAATAGATAGCCAGATGTAAGGCAGTGTTTCAAAAGTTCAGTGTATTCTTCTTGCATACTATTATCCCGTAGCTTTCTTGATACTATTTTGACACAGTCCTCTACTGGTAGGCTGGTGAATAGAGACTATACATCAAAACTGACCATAGTTTCACTGTCCATGAGTTGTAGGTGTTTTATCTCATTGACAAAATGGTACGAGTCCCTTGTGAACGCTGATGTTTGTCCTCTGAGTGTGGAGAGTAATTTCGCTATTAGTTGGGCCAATTTATAAGTCGATGTGTCGATTTGACTCACAATTGGACGTAGCGGAGCGTAAGGTTTGTGTATCTTTGGAAGTCCATACAGTTTAGGCGGCTTTGCACAAGATGGAACAAGATTTTTGACATCAAGATTCAATGCATCGGAGTGTTTCTTAATCAGCTTTTTAGTATTATTTAACACAGTGGTGGTTGGGTCTGTTTTGACCTTTTTATATGTACTTTCATCCGACAAAAGTTGTTTAATTTTTTCATTGTAATCTGATGTATCCATCACGACGGTGGCATTTCCCTTGTCTGCGCGTAGTATGATAATGTCTGACCTGCTGCGTAAGTTCTTCAACGCTAAATACTGTTGTTTGTTGAGATTAGGTTTGGGCCTTGAACTACGACGTAACAAAGATGAAACATCTTGACGTATGGCTTCCATATCCTCAGATTTCATAGTATTTTTGGCCAGGGCATCTTCAACTGCACAAATAATGTTCTCATAAGGGATGCGTGTCGGCGCAACAGCAAAATTTCCCAAAAAGATCCTGTTATTAATATAATAAAATCAAATAATAAATATAAACATAATAGACAGGCAGATGTAGTAAGTTCATACTGTGTAGATCAAAATGACAGCTAATCGGATTAATATTTTTCATTTTTCATTTGTAAAAGTATATATTAATAGTGTTGCTTAGTAAGTTGTTTTTAAATAATAGCAAACTAAATTAAAATTATTATCCTTAATTAATTTGAACTTTTTTAAATTACACATAGAACAATTATATGGCGTAAATAATTAATACTATATTTTATATTTTTCTTTATGGTTATAAATTTAATAATGGCAACACTTAATATAGATTACTAATTAATATTTTAAAATTGTAATAATTATAAAAATAATAGCAAAAATTAAATAAATAATTTTCCATATTCAATTATAATTAAAATTATAAAAATGTTTAAAGTTAAAAAATATTGTAATGTAATAATGTCTGTAAACTAATATAAAAAGTATAATAATGTCTGTAACAACTATACATTCAAGACATGTAACACCTCAGTCTCTCCCGTGACCATGGATGCTGTAAAGCATTCGAAACGTCGGGAAACAAAAATGCAAATAAATCCGCGACAAAATCCGAAAAGATAGTTTTATTTAAAACATAATTCTTTTAATTAGATTGCAAACAACACGTTCAAGAAGCACTTCCCGCGTGGCGGAGCGATTACAGAAGTAGAAGACTCCTATTGGAGTTACGTACTACTCCGCTCTGAGCACGTGTGTGTCAACAGCGCTTCCATAGACGCCGGTCCAGAGGGCTATGGTTTTGCCAAAAATGAGGATGAACCTTATGGCAGCCATCCCTGGAACTTAAAGGTAAGGGTGAAATCTAGTTGAGGTAAATCACAAACTCTCCCACGTCTTATCTCTTATAGTTAGTAAATAAATATAATTGTATTTAAAGTAAGAGTAAAATTTAAAAGACATTGCTAAATATAAAAAGCAACATATTTTTACATTTGCTAAAGTTATATAGTTATAGAATAAAGAAAGTAAAGTATTAATATTGTCATAATTAAATCATTAAAGAAATTTATATATTATAGACGTTAAGCAAAAACAACGGCAACGTGCTACGTCTGCTCGGGCCGGTGCTAGGTCTGACCGTTCCCACCTTACACCTCGGCATGTTGTACTCTACGAGCTGCTGGCACCGCGACCCGCACGGCCTGCCCTGGATGGAGTACATGCACCAGGGCTCATCGAAGATATGGTCATTGTTTTTTATTATAATTGTGGATTTGTTAAAGATGCCAGCGAATGTATAACGCATAAAGCTATATTTCATAAAGTGTCAAGTACGCTGCGAAATTTTGATTATTTTTTCTTACTTTTGATTACTCGGTCAGAGCGATTTGTATATTTTATGAATTATACATAAACTGTATCTTATTTTAGGTATGGGATATCGGACCAGGAAAGTGAAAGGTTCAGACAAGCGGTGGAAATCTTATGCCCCACATCACGCTAAAATAAAACTTTATGGCTCCCATCAGACATAACAATGATACCGCCTAATTTATTGTTGGAACATGCTGTGTCACTCTCCCGAGTGGTTCCAAACCCAGGAGAATTTATTATTGTATTCCCAAAGTCTTTTTCTTCTTCTATCTGCACTGGATACACCGTTTCAGAGAGTGTATACTTCGCGACAAACTCTTGGATGCACAGCATCAACCAAGTGTTTCAAGTAAGATATTCCGTTTTCTTATTTAACAAAAATATTAACGAAATAAATTCATAGTTTGATATTTTTCTTTTCCTTTTTTTGTTTCAAAAAACGCGTTATTACTTTAAACAAACGGCAATTTTGAAGTCAACATAAATATTGTTTACTTTTACAAATAGGTTACCTTTTATCCCGCAAAAATGTACGATTGCCGGGGGATAGATTTTTTTGTTTATTTGTAACGTATTATGTACACAACATAGACCTTAAAACAATAGTTATTAAAATTTCTGTCTGTTTGTTTGCCTGTATGTCCGTTTGTCTGTTTTTGTGTGCGCGTTTCACGCGAAAAGTAATGAACCGATTTAAACGAAATTTGGTGAAGTGATAACTTATTACTCGAGTCAACATTTAGAATACCTTTTACTTCAAGAAAAACTTTCTTTTCCATGGGAAAATATAATAACTGGTTTTATCGAGTCCTCCCTAGAAACCTTTCGCTGTCTAAACCTTAAGACATACATCAAAACAATATACTGAAAAATTGTAGGTCTTGAAAAATAGTACAGAAAATTTGTGAATAGTATATGTTCTATCTCCTAAGCAATATCTATTCTTATCTATACATATAATAAAACTAACTTAGTCAAATCGATGTGCGCGTTTCTCGCAAAAAGTACTGAACCGATTTTAACTAAATTTTGTATAGTGATAACTTAGTACTCGTGTCAACATTTAGGATACCTTTTACGACAGGCAAATTATTCATTCCCACGGGAAAACACAATAACTGGTTCTATCGAATCGTTCGTAGAAATTTATATGACTAAAGCTGGCTCAATCTTAAGAGGTAGACTATAGAAAAGTTCTCAATAGTACGAGTGAGTCTATGTCTATATCCTAAGTTACACTTGCTATACTATATACTAATTTTATCCATACTAATATTATAAATATGAAAGTGTGTTTGTTGTGATTTCTGTCGCAGGTGAAGGGTGTGTTCCGCATGAACGGGTCGTTGTGTCTCCCCCATGTCGTACATATATTGGAAGACAAGGATAAAGAAGATAGAGAAACGTAAAAGATAAATAAGAGATGGGCTGTTAGGATTTGGCAAAAGTTTTACGACCGGCCGCCTGGCTGATATTAACCGTCTATTTTTTTAATAAGTCTTAATACCTTATACTATAGAATATGGAGTATAAAATTCCAATATTTATCAGTTACCAATATTAAAAACAGGGTATATTTGTTGCTGATATACATAGATTATGGCACCCAGAAGCTCAACATTTTAATCAGATAGGATTGTATCGAAAATGATATTTTATTTGTTATACCCTGGCGTGCAAAAATATCGGGCCACCTAGAGAAAATGGACAAACTTAAGATATGATATTTTTTTTATTAATTTTGATATTATATATGGGTAGCTGTATACCCTAGATACCTAAATCAATAATCGTTGAATAATTTAAATTAAAATTATTGCTCGAAAATAGAGGAAAATTAAATTTAACGATTTTTCGCGAGTTTGGTATAAAAATGTAAGCCGCAAATTAATGGGAAAATTAAAAGATTTCGATTGGTTTTATGATTTTTAATAATGCGTATTACCTCTATTTTTAATTACAGCTTTTTATCGGTTTTTCAGAGATTCGACACACTTTTTAGATGATAATCTTGTGTAATAGACTCCCAATCTTCCAATAAGGCGCTTTTTAATTCTTAAATGTTGCTCGGGACTACTACGCGACTTCTACCTTCTCTTGTGAGATGGTCCCATACATGCTCTATCGGATTGAGGTCAGGGCTTCGCGCTGGCCAGGCAATAGTAGACACTCCGACCTCTTGAAGATACTGCCTTACTGATGTAGCAGTGTGTGGGCGAGCATTATCTTGTAGAAGCAGAAAATCTTCTCCAATGAACCCAGTAAAAGGCATCACATGATCTTCTAAAACCTCCGTTATATACCTAGCGACTGTAAGGGATCCATTTTCTATGAATATAAGCTCGGTTTTCGCTTCGTAACAATCCTGCTCAAAACATAACTGAGCCCCCTCCATATGACACTGTTTCCCGCATAGTGCATGGTACATATCATTCACCTGGTCGCCGGTAAACAATATTACGGCCGTCGGCACCATGCAAACACATTCTGCTTTCGTCAGTAATGAGAACCTTCTTCCACTGCTCCAAATTCCAATTGACGTGATCTCGGGCAAAAAGTAATCTTGCAATTCGATGTGCAGGGGTGAGTTTGGGGCCAGTTGCGGACTTGCGTGGCATCAGGGAAGCGGCTCTAAGTCGGCGCCTTACTGTCCACTCGCTAACATTAACACTTCTCACTTCTCTCAGGAGATTTCGAACGTCAACCCCTGTGCGATGACGATTTCTTAGAGCTGATGACACAATAAATCGATCATCACGCTCTGATGTGGCTCTTCGTCGGCCGGAACCATGTCGTCGTACAAAGCCACCAGTCTCTATGTAACGTTTGTACACTCTCTGGACCGTAGAACGGCTCACAGAAAAAGTCACAATCCGAGATGATTCAGCCTCGGTCAGATCCATCTTGCAGTATTTCTAATAATCGCAGATCAAAGTAGAAGTGTCTTGTTCAATAATTGGAACTCAACTAAGCTTCCAAAATAACAAAAAACAGTATTTGTGGCTTCAATCCATATTATGCAAATATTCACTAATGACTGTTAATTGACTATAATTAAGCGCACACGTGCATTTCCAGGAATCTTATGACTGTTTTGAAGGAAACAAAGGCGTCTAATCTCCTTAATTACCTTTGCGGTATTTTTTTCACCAAACAATTGTCAACAAAAAATTATGCTTAAAATTAAGGGTGGCCCGATTTTTTTGCACGCCAGTGTAGTTTACAGTTAAATAAGTGTTTTTGCACAAATTGATTTCAGAACGTGTATACATAGATAGTATGCTTATTAAGCCATCTAACATTTAGTAGTTAGCTAGGCTGTAAAGAACTTGGCTACTAGAACTTGGTGTAAAAACTTTTTAAAAGTGATTATTTTTATTAAGTCAAGTGATATTTTAGTGGCATGAAATGCCTAATATATGAAATTTTTCGAAGACTTAGAATTATTGTGTCGCTAATTGCAGTTTTTTTTTGCATACTTCTTAAGAATTTACTAATAAAATTTATAGAATTAATATATTTTTGAACGATTGAATGGGATTTAAGACTAATAATAAAGATTATACATACATACATACCAACATACTTTGCTTGAAAAGTAAGAACCTATTTAAGTGTTATATATTCCGAGAGCTGGCGATGAATTTTGGGAAGGTCCTTTTGGCAAGTTGAAATTGTGACAAAAATATAATTTCGTCAATTGGCGAGTCCAGTCCCGCGAATCTTGTATAGCGTTTGCGGTTATTTCGTTATTGCGCAGTATATAACATTTGCAAAAAAATATCCAAAAAAAAATCCTACCCTACCCTTTAGGTACGGAACTCTAATAAACTACTCTAAAATACTCTGTTGTGAACGCAGACCCCGAACCATACTCGAAACGCGTGGTTTCTCAATAACTAATCACAGCGCGAGGACCGTGGGCCCCCATCAGCTGCTGGCATACCTCGATAAGCTATTTTTCTCGCACCTATGGCTACGCATAAGACTTTATAGTAGTACTAATTTGTAAATTTATTTACGTCTGGGAATTGTTTAAAACTATTACTATTGAAAAATACTCAATAAATACGTGATTAAAATTTCAGACTGGCCAAAAGTATATTTTTGGGAATTTTAATATTTTAATAAAATATCTTTGGAGAGGTCTGGTAATACTTTATAACCGACATAAACGTCAGAGGTTCTTTTTTGTTTTAATTATATAAAAACTAAATTAAAAGATTAAACAAAAATCAAGTTGCAAAAAATGTTTTTTTTTTTGATATTTTTTTGTAAATGTTATTATACTGCGCAGTAACGAAATAACCGCAAACCCTATATCAGATTAGCGGGACTGGACACGCCAATTGACGAAATTATATTTTTTCACAATTTCGACTATTGACAAATATCTAAATAATACAAAAATAAATATTCATTAAAATAATTTTTTAGTGAATAATATAGTGCTATTGATATACTTTTTCAAGATTAGCTACTTTTGACATATTTAGTAAGTTAACTTGCTAAAATCTATATAGTATCATCGTTTTTTTATTCTAACCAGTTTTTGTATTTTTTCTCAGAAATGAGTAAAAAGTGTCCTTTATGTTGACCCGGATAATCAGCTAAGACCATACCAAATTTCATCAAAATCCGTCCAGTAGTTTTAAGATTTTCAAAAAAATATTTAATGTATAGATTTGACTTAGTTAGAATTTTATTGTTATGTATAGATGATAGCCAAAATTTTAAGTCATTAAAATTAAGGATATGATTACTTATCTTATAGGAATTAATTATAAGCATGAATAGTCAAATTACTAGTCGTCAAATAAGATTTCATATCAGTATAGGGATGTGAATCGCTAACTATTACATGACATACCTTGAATGCAACGTTACAGATATTTTCAAGTCAAAAGTCAAGTGAGAGTTGGACTCACGCCCTAAGGGTTCCGTACCATTATCTATAAAAACGGCAAAAAAATCATGTCTATGGTATGGGAGCCCTTAAATATTTGTTTTATTTTAATTTAATTATTTATTTTTAAAGTGAATATATAACTAAATATTCCGTGAATATTTCAAGCGTCTACCTGTTGCCGTTATCAATATCGAGCAAAAACGAGCAATAAAATCACGTTTGTTGTATGTGAGCCCCCTAAAATAATAGGGGTTAAAGTATGAAATTGTTAGGGGTTAAAGTATGAAACGTTTAATTGTAATGGGTACTTCGAATTGACAGAACCTTCATGATTTGAGGTTTTTGAGTGAAACTTTTTTCACATAGTACCTACATAGGTATAAGAACTACATAGTTCTTCTTTTAAAAAATGTGCAAAATTCGATTATCGACTTTCAGTAGTTATTTTTATTCAGCTTAGACAAGCGAGATGGATACTTCAAAAATTCAATTGATTTTCGAATAAGAGTTCCGACGCGGAACTAACGCGGCAGAAACAGCTCGCAATATCAATGATGCGTTTGGAGAGGGGACTGCTAATGAACGCAGCATGCGATTTTGGTTTAAATGCTTTCGTGATGGAAACTTTGAAGAACGGACCACGTGGAAGACCGCCCACACAGGTGAATAACAATGAATTAAAAGAGATGGTGGAAGCCGATCTGAGCCTAACTACCCAGCAATTAGCGGCATGGTTTAACGTTACCTTGCCAACAATATTGACTCATTTGCGTCAAATCAATAAAATAATATATGAAAAATGGGTGCCTCATGATTTGACTGATCTGCAGAAAGAAACGTGTGTTGAAACTTGTGTTGCCTTGTTGAATCGATACAGAAATGAAGGAATATTGGACCTGTTGTGACATGTGATGAAAAGTGGATTCTTTACGATAACCGTTGGCGAAAAATGCAATGGCTGACCCCAGGTCAAACGCCGCGACAGTGTCCTAAAGCAAAGCTTACCAATAAAAAGGTAATGGTAACTGTTTGGTGGTCTCAGCATGGTGTTATTCACTATAGCTTTCTTCGATCTGGTCAAGCAATAACGGCAGATGTCTACTGTGCTGAACTCCGAACAATGATAACAAAACTAGCAGTGAAACAGCCCCGACTCATGAATCGATCTTCACCATTATTGCTCCGTGATAACGCGAGACCTACGCGCGGACTACCATTTTTTTCGTGATTTGGACAATTTTCTACATGATAAAAAGTTTTCTTCTCAGGAGGCAGTACAAAATACTTTCACACTGTTTGTCGAATCTAGATTACCAGAGTTATATCGCAAAGGCATAAATGACCTTCCTATTAGATGGCAGCAATGTATAGATAATAGTAGTAATTATTTTGATTAAATAAATATGTTAAATTTAATTTCAATTTTTCTGTACAAATCGGCAATTTCATACTTTAACCCCTATTTGATTCTGTTTTTTAGTATTTGTTGTTATCATCTGTGAAAATTTTAACTCTATCACGATTCATGAGATACAGCCTGGTGACAGACTGACGTACGGACGGACAGCGGAGTCTTAGTAATAGGGTCCCGTTTTACCCTTTCTGTACTGAACCCTAAAAAAGATGCATCTCGAAAACCATCAATTTACGAACGTGCATTTAAATTATGTCATGAACGTGTCGGGTCCAAGTTAACTCGCAAGTTTTGACAACATCACATCTCTTATTAGTATTTTAAGATAAGTAGGTATAGTACTTACGCTATTAACTGTTATACGAGGGGAGGTCCAAAAGTTCGTTTAAGCACATGTAGGAGATAAGTTCATGTTTTCCTTAAAAAGCTCAAATCTTTTTTGTAGCTACCAAAACTTAAACTACAAATTATTTGCCATAAAGACACTTGTATTTTATTTTATATTTTGTTTCTTTGTTTTTTACATATTTGTCTTTAACATTATTTTTTTCTAACATTCTAGCATGCTAAGTAATTTTCTCTCACAACATCTTTGTACAAGTCACATCAGCAAACTAAACCCTCTCAAACAGCTTAGAAAACTCAATGGCAAACTGAGTTAATGCAGTTGAGGAGGATGGTGATGATATTCCACTCATTAATTAAATAGTGTATGTAGTTTGTCAAATTTATTCTGTTTTTGTTTTCAAGTTTGTATATGTCAAAATATGAAATAATAATAATAAAACATTTCCTTGATTGTTAAAAGTATATAATTTATTCTAACGTAAATTACGGTAGTCAAATAGTCAAATACCAATACCTACACAAGGATTGCTAAGTTTATACCTGTTTGATAATAATCATATAATAATCGGATAACTATCGCGAGAATTAATTATATCAATAGACATATTTATCTTAATAATTTCATTCTCTGATTTTTGGAAAGGGTATATTTCCTAGGTGGGCCTATGGTCATCAGGTCAGGATCTGATGCCATCATTATCGGGATCCTAGAGAAATCAAGGGAAGTTGAAGCGATTTGGTTTTTTTTTATAGTGACTCGTGCATTTGCTTTTAAAATGCTTTCTCCTTACTTTTCTACTACTACGTCTACACTAAAAATGTAAACATTAAAACTTAAAAAAATAAATAAACAAAAACCGTGTGCTTTGATTTGTATCGGCTGGCACTGACTTCGAAAATATCTGATTAGGTATCTATAGTTAATAAAAACTCTCATATAGTTATTTTTTAATTTTTAGTGTTTTGAAGTCTGTTTTTAATCCTAGATTCATAAACATTTGTCTCTCATACAAAAGTAATAAAACTCGCATTGAGCGCGGCGCGAAAGAGATGGCAATATCATCGTGCTCTAGGAATCCTGGCGCGTACACGTATAGTTGCGGAGGTACTTAGCGTTCTGAGATTTTTAACAAGTTAAAGGTTTTATTGTTTGCCTTATAAAACGGACGGACGTGGAGTTTTTTTAAAAAGGTATGTTTTTGTTCTATAACATACTATGCAACTAATTATTAATATGAAAGATTATTTATTTTGTTCCGTTGTTGTAATTTTTATATGTAACACGTTTCATTAGGTATCCATTAGTAATTAAAGTTATTATTTATTGTTATGCTGGTTATTTTGTTTTTTTTTCAGCGTCATGGCTTCTTTGAATGACGAACAAATTTGTGCAATATTATTCATAGTGGTAGACGAGGGAGATACGGACCCTCAAGATGATTTGGAGAGTGATGTAGAGGATATTTTAGAGGCTGATAGTGAGCAACCTACAGATGATTCAATTGATTCTGATGACGAACCCCATCGAACATCAAATATTCTTTACCGCCGTCGTATAATTAGTTCTGACTCATCAGATAGTGAGCGTCGTACTGAACAAACAGTTAACCAACGCGCTAACTCTCTTTCACTTTAATCTATCTTTGCCATGGTAACCGTTGTTATTGTCTGACAAATGATATATAATATTACATTCTTTCCTTCTTTTCTTTCCATTGCGGCCACTTACATAGGTGATAAATAAATGATGAATATACGCCATGAACGTATAAATGTAACAAAAACCATCTTTAATGACTCGCTACCGCTTTTGCGGCCACTTTTACATAGGCAGACGTAGTTTATCAGGTACAGAAAAAATTAGCTTTAATTTGATATATAAATGATGAATATACGCGATGAACGTATAAACGTCTGCGAAGAGGTTGCGGCCAAATTCGCAACGGCAGCTATCATTTTTCAAGATCTCTACGTATAGTTCTGTGAAGTGGAGTATAATTCATAGTAATAACAAATGCATCGTTTTTATTCCAAAAAGTAAACTATTATTTAGTTAATTAAACATACTAGCGCGCACATTTGAATAGGCACCCCGGTCGAAACGTATTATCCCTTTTATTATTGTATATAAAAATTTGATTTCGATTAAATACGCTATGAACGTAGCAATCTTGCAGCGGGATCTCGATCCATTACTGAAACTATTCGAGGCAGTAATCGTAACGTTAGTCGTGACCATGGATAATTGGTTTACGTCAGTGCTCTTAGCAAAATAACTATTGCAAGACCTATACAAATTAACAATCGTGGGAACAATGAGATCTAATAAACGTGAAATTCCTCCACAACTTTTATAAGCAAGACAAACAAGATTTTCAATGTTTTGTTGTAACTCTACATTAGTTTCTTTCAAGTGGAAAAAAAAATAATACAAATTTTCTTCTTCGATCCACGTCTTATGGATCTGGCACTTTAGTATCATCCGGTAAGCCAGATACTATAGAGTTTTATAACTCGACCAAAGGCGCCGTGAACACGTTTGACCAAATGTGCCATAATATGTCGTGCAATAGAAAAACCCAAAGATAGCCACTATGCACTAGCGTGCAATAGTAGCCTATTTATGGTACTTTTATGGTATGTTGAATATTTCCATAATCAATTCTTTTGTCATTCATTTAGTTCATAATAGTAGCCGTAATCAAAATAAACCACTGACAAGACGAGATTTTGTCAAAGAAGTGTCCAATCAGTTGATAGAGCCCTGATTACCTGAGATACCAACTTTGAGGCGATGCCTAAAGCGGAACATCGATGCGATTTTAGGCGATACTTTGCCTGATGTATCAGCCGACCCTGGAAATCAAACCAGACAGCTATGCAACTTCTGTTGTTATAAAAAAACGTGTGACCACATTTATCTGCACCTCTTGCATCATCGTCATGTGTGCATGTAACATCGCGGTAGTTTGTGTTTAGAATGCTCGGAATAATTTAAAGATTTATTTTCTAATGTTTTGATTTGAAATAAACGTTATTATTATTAATCTCTGTAATTTTTTTATTAATACTCCTCGTAGTTACCAAATTTCATGCACTTGGAAATAAGGTGTATCACAGACATATGATTATGAAAAATGTAACGCTAAATATAGTTTATGAATCTAGGGTTAAATAAAGATTTTTATTTTTAATGATACGACCTGACACTGGCTTGGTTTGATTATCGTCTAAAGAAGGAAAGTGACAATTAGGAAAGTTGGAGCACTGCACCTACAAGCACGTTAGGACGGACGACTTGCGGTATCTCCTACTCTAAATTTGTGAATAGTGAATATGAACTCTTATGTACATTTGGCCTTGTGTATTGCAATTGCTTATCTAAATCTTTTTTATATTTTGTATAACCGTGTATTTTTTATGTATTGTACATTAATTGACACCCGAACATAATGCAATGTATTACGAATAAATCTTGGAGATAAACAGAAACAAGTTTATACCAGATACATACTTATATGGTTGATTCTACAAAAAATGGGTAACTCTATGTCACCAGTCAATAAAATGATATATTATTACATTTTGTTTATAATTTATAATTAATTCTAAAACAATTAAAAGCCATTCATTTGGTCACCCAATTTCAGCCATCCATTATAAATACAAATTTGTGAAACTTTACAATATATCCTCAAAACGTCAGTACTTTGGCGTGTCACAACGTCAAAAGCGCGCAATCAAATAGCTGTGTATTAAATATTACCTTTAATATAATAAAATTTATTATTTCACTATAATCTGTGATGTATTTAATAATATATGATCACAACTTTATATTATAATATTTTCAACTTTGTTGTAAAAATAATAAGAAACTTTGTGTTCAGTTTTATTCGTCAGTCCGTTGTGTGTTGTTCGAATTTGAATATCTCGCTAAATACCGGCGACTTAAATCCAAATCCGCGTTAAACTTTAAGGTTGTTAATAAAGTTAGCTGCAGACCGCGTCATTGTTCGGCCGTCATTTCTGTGCCGGTGCTAGAGTTGTGTTTGTCGTGTGAACACGTGCCGACCCAGACAAAATGTCAGTCCTATGGTGAGTCGCTATTTTTTTGTAAATTTGTGTTATATTTTAATTTAAACATACTTAACTTTGATTTGTTAAAATGTAACTTATTGATATTCGAAAATATCAAAATAAACGTTGGTTCTAAAGATAACCTCAAATTCATGTTTGTTTCGTCAGTCCGTTGGCGTCAGTCCGTTGTCTGATATTGCGCCAAAGGACAGACGTGTTTAATCATTTTTTTTTTCATTTTGACTTGTTGGGCGTGTTTAATAATTTTTTTTAATTATTTCAGTTTATAACATCATGGCTCCATAAAAACAAACAAAATATGTCTAAGGATAGAGATGAAATATTGAAACAGAAAATAAAGAAGAGAATTAAATTAGCTGAATATAAAAATAAATTTTTTTTATTTCAATTGTTTGTTGATTACTTAGAAAATGTACCTATATTGTTAAGCTAAACTACCTCAAAGTAGTAAAGTTAAGTTCATAAAAAGCTGCTTCAAAGGTGGAGAAAGTTGTTCCTCACAGTATTACGTAAAAAATATTTTTTTAATTGTTATAAGTGAATTAAGATTAAAAGTGAGACTCAAAATGTTTGCCATTATTAGTTCATAAGAGATTTCTTCTCAATTTTAATAAATTTCTTGCATATCTTATGAAATTGTGTATTTCATCAGTACTTTGTCACTCACGTCAGTCCCCTGGTTTCGGAATTCGGAAAAATCGAAATATCTCCGCATCTACTTTAAAAAGTGACTGGCCCTATCATGAGCAATATTTTCATTAGATTAGCTATCTTATAATCAGAATTCGTAAGAATTTGATTTAAAAACTATCATAAACAAAATATCCTGAAAAGTTACCCAACTTTTGTATATCCGCCCATATACATATTGTTCATTTAGAAAAAAAATAATGTGGTTTGTAACATGAGCAATATAATATAGTCAAAGCGCTGAAAGGGGTTTTTTTTATTATTTTTGATTTAGTACCTTTACATAAGACACGCAGTCGATGAATTATACCTATATATGATGACCTATAATTTACCAACGACTAAACTTAAACTTTATGATCTCTTTGTGTTGAGAAAATAGGGTTTAAATGGCGGCTTTGTAAGACTGTCGGTGCATGTTTATGAAAACAATTTCTATTTTAGGGTATAGTTTATTGATTTAAAACGGCAAGTACGCTACATGTTATTTCAATAAAGCACGATGAAGAACTTTACTACTACCAAACCTTTTGTCATTTACATCCATACAAACTTATATCCATCCGGCATAGTTAAAGAGCATTTTGACCTAACTTTAACCACGGCAATGTAATGCATACAGTATTGCAACTCTGCCCTACCTTGAAATAATTACTCAGGCGACAGGGTTGCCCGCTGGCCAGTATTTTAATTTCATCTACCTACTTGAGTTTCTTTCTAATTTTGTAATTTCAAATATTATATTTTTTATTTAAAAACTATTATCAGTAGATTTAATTAAAAATTTAAAAATATTTGCGCCTCGACTGGGACGTTCGAAAAGCTTTATTGTTAAATTTAATAGTATAAAGAATCTGCATTCGGATAAAAAATTTCATTAAAAATACTTTAATTTTTAGTTTAATTAATTAATTTTTATTTTTAAAACATACGATGTCTCGATACTTTTTTGTTTAACATTAGCGAAGATAAGTGAGAAACAAAATGTTTATTTTTGTATCAAGTTATAAAAGTTACATAACATAACCACCTTACATAATTTTCGTATCCAATTATAGGATCTGGCAGCCCCGGACGGTTGTCTACCGAGTGTATAACGAACGCGACGCGCGTAGGTATAACTCGATTTCCTGCCGTTTGTATGAAGATGGAATACTGTAATATTACCGTGCTTCAACCAAGCCTTACTTTCCATCCGCCCTTTCAAATCTTTCATTAGATAGACATGTAACACCTCAGTCTCTCCCGTGACCATGGATACTGTAAAGCATTAGAAACGTCGGGAACCAAAAATCAAAATAAATCCGCGAAATAATCCGAAAAGATAGTTTTATTTAAAATTTTGGGATACCTTTTCATATTGAGGCTTTTTTGAAATATGAATTCTGTAATTGAGTCACATGTTCCTTACTTACGATTGGAATCGAAGATTTGGTCCAAATATTATTGATTTCTTCAGAAACAATCGCTTAAACGAGTATATGTGACTAGGATAGATTCTTTCCATTATAATTCATTTTTAGATCATTCTTGATAAATAAAATATATTTATTTAATGAAGTCCTTAATAGGTAGCTGTCGATCGTAAAGTTCTTTATATGGTCCTAATATAGCACAAGTAGCCCTATTTAAAAACTCCAATAGGATCCCATCAAAAGCGACAAAAGCCGCATAGAAACCAATTAATATTAATTATTGGTTTCTATGTGGCTTTTGTCGCTTTTGATGGGATTCTATTGGAGTTTTGCAACATGGAGGCTCACTTCACGCCTTAAAGTAATTATTTCAAAATCACATAATCAATTTTTAACACTATAAAAATTTAAACTGTATTTTTATAGCAACAAAATTAATTTGGCAACGAAGAAAACACTTACGAGTTAAATCAAGAAAGTCCTCGGAAAAAATTGCAATATAAGGGTATTTGCAAGTTGAAACCTACCAAATTCGAAATCATTAATAACGTATTATTACATGTAAATCGATACTTCGTATGTGTATTAAATCTAAATAAAACAGAGTAAATATTTAGTTCAGGAGCTGAAATTTGAGATAGTGAAATATCACCATAGAAATGTCAATTTTTCAAAACTTGAAGGAGCTGTAGAACCCTAAAGATATAGTTTTATTTTATTTTTAAAATTTTTCGGTAACCTACGATCAATTACGCATGTTTTGAGAGGTCTTGCGTTGAGGAAAACCAAAAAAAAATTTTTTTCGGGACACCCTAATGATTATGGTTTCATTAAGGGTCATTCGGAATTTCATCCCTCCAGTAGAGTCGCCTAAGATGTTCATTGTTTATTCAAACTCTTACTTAGGTAATTCGAAAGTAGGTATTATACATTTTTATGACAAGGACAAAAGTTGAATGTGAAATATGGGATAATGAAATAAAATAACACATTATTAAAAAAAGTATTTATTCAATGTATTCGGCAAAATTACTGTAAAATATTTAAGCTGTCGCCTGTCACATAATGAACAATACAAAAAAAGAAACCAATAAAAATCTATTGTCTTCGGATTTTACATATTATAAAAGTTTCGTTTCACAATATTAATATTGGCTTATTTATTAATTAACAATGATTGTGCAGACAAGATTGATTCTTATACTCTAAGAACATAAATTTAGAAAACGAGAAATGCTCTCAATAATTGTAGTTAATTTGTAACTTATGATTAAGAATAATATAAACAGCTTCAAAATTTCCTTCATATAAAAGATAAGAGTAAGTTATTGGCATTGATTCAAGAAGTGTCATCGCAATAATAGTTTAAGGATCTCTTGGGAATGTATAGTGACTGCATGATAATGCAGTTCAAGTTACATATAATTTTATTAGGTACTAAAAACTAAAATATTTTATTTTTAAATATTATTATAACTAACTACACCAAAAAAAACTTTTAACAAGTTATTAAGAAAAATCTCACCATAAACTTGTAGAAAATATTTATAAGTAATAAGAGGATAGGTACACACATTGCATAGTGTGCAGTACTACTTTCGTATACTAGGATATCAGAGAGGTGGACCACGCGGGCCGGGGACGCCTATAACAAATACACTACGCTTTAAGTACACAGACACCGGTCGAATTAAGTTTAGGTCGATATAATAGAGTTGACTTAATCTAAAAAATTGAAAGGTATAAACATTACAAATTTGTCAGAAATATCTCGAAGTCATTAGTCATTTACTTGAAAAATGTCCTAAAGGCCATACCCGAGATCTTACAAAGTTATTAATATATCCCCAACCACTGCACGTAACATCTTAAAGTAACAAAAATCTTAAATTATATATAATTAGAATAGATTCATTAAAGTAATCCTTATAAAAATACCATCTAAGGTTAAACTTAATCGTAAAACGCACATGTGATGTAAAGTTGGCACGTGTGCTGTGTAAAGTGAGAATATCAATGAGGCAGTGTGTGTGTTAGAGGTATTCGTAATGGTTCGCGTATTTGCTCAACATCGATGGTTGTGGTAACAGTCGAAACTTGGGATTCTCTTACAATATACATTTTACTATACTTTTGTATCATTCACATGAGAAGGCAAAAAACGGCAAGGCCTGCTCTGCTTGTGACGAAGTAAGAGACGATCTCTGCACATAAACAGTATCGGCAACAACAAGGGAACATAATTATAACTATAACCTTACTATAAAATGATAGATAACAAAACATGAAAAATTAAATATTTACGTTTATGTCCAGCGCATGATCGAAAAATTATAAACTATACGATCAAAAATAACAATGTTTAGGATCTCATTCAACTAATAATACCATGTTATTAAAGTAATTTCTATTGGCATAGGGAGTAATGCTATGCTAAAATTAAGCATCAATAGAACCTGTTACCGATCATCGCTACGACACATACCTATACCCGAGGCAGTTATCAATACTTAAAATACCAGTCTTTAATATGCAAATGAGATTGATCAACCATTTTATTCATCATAGAATACTGTGCAAGTTGAAAGTTAAAAAATAATCGTTTATAAATTTTAACTAACTAATGTAAAATGTTTACAAATACCACGAGTCGAGCGTCCAAACACGCTCTTTCTCGCTCTCACACGTCAATATAAAGTAATGTCACACGACTCTACCAGGAAAACATCGTTTGCTTAACACTTAAATGAGAAGAGTTTGAGCTCCAGGTACAGACAGTCTGGATCACTTAAAATAACATGCATCCGTTACATTTCTACTTCGTACTGTCGCAGACTATGATCGCGCTATTATAATAACCAATACACAACGTGTTACATCAAAAGTTGTATGTTCGAGGCTTCGGCGGACCCGTGAAGAGATTTATTATGTTGAATAAATCTTTCATCTAACTAAAACATGTCTCATTTTTTTCAGATGATTTTTATAAAAATTATACCCACATTATTTATAATATTCGTTGTGAGGCGTGAATCTTAGAAAGATAATTGTACTTGCAGGAATGATAAAAATATGATGAATTAAAAAGAGGAAAGATTAAATTTTTTGTTTGTTTGTACTGAATAGTGACTGAATACTAGACCGATTTAGATGAAATTTGGTAAGAAGATATTTTGAGACTGGGAATAACACGGGATAATTTTTATCACGGAAATCATCCCATGAGGAGATGAAATTTTATATGGGAAATCAACTTAAGGACGAACCCGAGCGAAGCGGGGTTAGTCGCTAGTTTAAAGTAAAATTAATATAACAGTTCTAATGAATATTATCATTAACTTAATTGCTGAAAAAAAATAGTTACAATATTATTCGAAAACACGTGGTTAAAATAAAATCTGCATTGTGAGTCAGTATTAGAAATGTCACTGGACGCCTCTAAACGACGATGTATAGGTGATATTTCAAATGGATGTGAGTGGAAGTCTAAAGCTGGGTGCAGATGGAGATAAACGTTTAGCAAAAGCTGTTGTTAGAAAAACATAAAACTTGCCTTACTAGATTTCAACATACACGAACTTAGTAATTCACCGTTTGTATGTACATAAATGATGATTAAATAACTACATATTACAATAATGTAGGTATTAACTGACGATTCACTGAAATACTACTTGATAGAAAAAGAATGCGTTTAAATATTATTATACCATTTTGATTAGTTATTATATTCTTCTTGACATTTGATTGCTTTCGGTATAAGTATACTTAATTAACATGTTCTAAAATAAAGCCAAAAACATAAATGAATAAAATGAACTGAGCCATAGGTAACTCTTTGTGTAGGCGAGTCGAATATCTGGTCAGTAGATCTCTAACCGCCCATAGACAAAAACGCTATGTCCAGTCAAAGCAACAAGAAACAGAAAAATGACTTATATAGTTTATTCCATTCTGTGCGTTACATTATATTTAGCTCTTAAAGCTCAATCCAATTCTTTAATAATAATTAGTAGGTACTCGAATTATAACCCAGAAAGTAGGTTTTTGAGATATCCGTCAAATGAGTGATATTAGTCATGTGTGCATTCTGCTATCTCAGTAATAAAATGGAGTATATCTACTTGCACCGCATTTCAGAGCAGCACAGTTATAATACGAGTAGGTATGCTGATACTGTATACAGGGTGGAACAAATCAAATTGAAGTTATCAAGATTTACTCAAAGGAAAGATTTATTTATTTAAAAAAAATAATAACTGCATTTAATTTTTTTTATAAAAAAAGCTTACCTGAACCGGGAATCGAACCAAAAAAAAAATGCAAAAAAGGGCACCGTCACTATTTTATCGAATTAATGGATAGTCAAGATTTACTCAAAGGAAACATCCTTTGAGTAAATCTTGACAACTTTAATATTTAAGGTACTTTTCTTCCATGTCCCATCGATTTGTTCCAACCTGTATATATTTAGTTTGTGATTTGTTTGATATCGGCAAAAGCACGATCATAATCATGTCATACTTGTCAGTTAGATTAAGGGTCAAATGTTGGAATAGAAGCGAGTTTAGTCTTAACTTCTTCAGATGAGTCGTCGGAGAGAAGCAGAGTGTGGGAGTAGCCCATGGCGACCTGCGTTATGTTGAGGCCGTCCATCCGGGTCACTTCCTTGGGCCGAGCAGTCGACTTGTTTATATCGCCCGTACCCTGTTAGCATTTTAAATTAATTATGTCTTTTGTTCAAAACATTTGTTTTATTATATGTTGGGACATTAACACACAGCACCCTCTAGTTCCATGGTAAGCTACGAGGCTTGTGTTAGGGATACCAGACAGTTGATACACTACACATATATAAATTTAAATAAGTACTTATTATAAAAATATAAACTACCATGACTGAAGAACAAACATTCACGACAACAATACATATATCACGCAAATGAATGCCCCCAGCGGGACTCGAACCTGCGACCACTAGCACAGCAAGTACAAACTACAAACTGAGCCAAAGTGTTGTCAAACTCACCCACTTATTCATTGATTCATCTCTTATGATTAATCAAGTGATGGAATAACAATAAGATGATGTTACTGTTTTATATTGTAAAATAATGTGAACAAATTTTACATAAAATTAGTTATTTAACTAAACAATGCAGTAACGCTTGATTTCTCTCTGAAAAGCAAACACTACTACATAAACTCTCAATTACATAAGAAACTGTATCAAAATATAAGACAAAAAAACTAAAAATATTAAATTAGTATTATCTTTTTATATCTGTATACTAAAGTAAATTAACACATATCTGCATGCAAATGCAAATCTTTCGTAAAGTGGCTTACTTTTTAATAAGGATAGTGTTTATTTTATGGTGTCATGTGTTTATTACACATAAAATAAACACCATTGTCTGTTTCTCAAAAAAGCCACAGTGACCGCAGACTGTGAAGGATTTCTATATTTTACCAGTTCTCCATATGTAGGGGAGACGCCCCAAGCGATGAGAGAGTCGTCAGCTGCGATCACGATGGACGTGTTACTTGTTCCCACGCTCCGTATGTTCCAGCCTAACAACATATTACAATAAGATAACATCCATTCTTATAAGCATTTTATTCTCAGAATAAGTGTGTATATTACATAATTTTAAATAAAACTATCTTTTCGGATTATTTCGCGGATTTATTTTGATTTTTGGTTCCCGACGTTTCGAATGCGATCATGGTCACGGGAAACATAGGGAACCAAAAATAAAAATAAATCCGCGAAATACTCCGAAAAGATAGTTTTACTTAAAACTGTCAAATATTCGCGTAAATCTAAAAAAGTATCAGGTATTAGATAATTTAAGATCATTATAGTATTGATAGATAAAATAAAAATCATTTCTTTTCAATTTTGTATCTTTGTTACGTATCCATATTAACACCTCCACTAACAATATCGCAGTTTTAAAAATGTTTGTTTTATATACATTTAACTATCAAACAACATCTTACCTGTGAGATCTTGTACAGGCTTGGGGTACATATTAGCTTCACCAGTGCGCTTTGTTTGTCCGAACATGAAGAGAGCACCTGTTTAATAAAAAAAGTCATTTTATCATTACTTAATACAAGTTATATACAATTATAGGGAATATGCATGTGATTTAAATAAAGGTGATTTTTTTTTATAATATTTATTGCTGTGGAATTAAGCCTATATCAATATTTTTTAATGTAATTTCTTTTTGATTAAGAAAATAATTATTAAAAAGTTAGGTGGGAAATTCAAAGTTGTTAAAACGCCATTGGTCAGACCAAATATGACGTTAAAGTATTATCATAACAGCGATTAGCGATTTTGTTGCTTACAAATTGAATCGTCCTTTTACTGGATATATCATATTGTGACGTCACGCCAAGCGCGCGAAATGGCGGACGTTTAAAGTATCCATATCGGTTTAATATAAATAAATAAAAAAAATCACGCATTTTGCTATTGAAACCATTGAAATTATTTGGTTAATAAAATAAAATTTAAGTATTGTAAATTATTATTTATATTCCACGTATAGAACTAGCTGTTGGTAGTACTGGCCTCTTTAGCAGGTGAGTCCCACGTAACCACCTGTATGTATGCAGGTGACAAAATAAACGCATTAAATGCTTACATTAGAGCCCGCGTCATGGTTGTACTGCAGGCACGTTGTAAGAGCAACAGACGTCCACACGCCGCCATACTGGTGCTATCAGCTACGCTACTAACCGAGCTCGTTGACAGCGAGGCTGTAGGTGGCGCCGCAGTAGACCGCGCGCACGCCGCGCGCCGCCGAGTCGAAGTACTTGATGAGGCGCGGCACGCTCTCGTCCTTCTGCTCCGCGTGCCCGAGCCGCCCGAACCCGCCGAAACCCCAGCTGAACGCGCGCTTGCGAGAGTCTATCGCCACCTGGACAGTGGACATACCGTACACACATACCTTTAATATATGTATTAGTGATGGGCCGAATGTGGCTTGAACCGAATACGAACTTCGGCCGAACATTCGGTGAGATTAAAAAATTCGGCCGAAATTCGGTTCAATTTCGCTGCACTTTCGCAAGCCACTACATGTCGTGACACTTTAATAATAAAAAATACTCAATGTTTCGGAGTGTTTAGTTTGTCAACCGAAAACATGATATTTTTATTCAATTTACGAATTCTAATTAAGGTGTTTGATACAAGAATACTAAGTTTATTTCATTTTGTCTATTTCATCAAGCAAAGATTTTTGAGACCGTCAAATGAAGAAGTAATTAATTTTTTTATTGCATACGTGTTAATTTTTACATATTCCAATCTAAAATAAATGACCATGTAAATCTATCGAAAACCGTTTATTTTTAATAGAAAAAATGTAATTAAAACCTAACGTCTAACGTCTTTAAAACATTAGCATGTATACAAGGAAACAAATCTGTAAAATTCCCCTAAGTCCAGCTACCCCAAAGACATAAGGGGATGAAAGGCGTTGAAAAATAGTAAATGTTTCTATCTAATTTCAGTTTACTGTGACGTCCTATCGAAAGATGTTCTGCACAAAAGTTGTAGGTCTAGTAAAAATCTACAACTTACTTTTGTGGAGAACATTTTTAGATAGGACGTGACAGTAAAGCGTACGTGTATTATTTAAAAAAACCACATTCAGTTAAACATAATTCCTTTTATATTATAATTAAATAACCATTATAACTATTTTAAACTTACCGTATGATTATTTCCACATGAAAAATCAACTATAATGACATCTTTGATGGGTGTCACATGGCCATCCTTAGATTTTTCAAAAAAGAAAGCAACGTGTTTGGGGACAGTCTCGAAATGGTAAGAAAGTTTGGTGGATGTGACGAAATACTTCCCGTCAGTGTTGTGACCTATAAAGGTAATAAAAAACAACATATGATAATTTTCTCTATACACATTGATATACAAAAACGGTCATGGCATGAAACGGTGTAGTGGGCAGACACTTTTAATTTGACTTAACGTTGCATTTCAACACCACTTTTTGAAGAAATATTTATTAGGAACTGTGTATCTACGGTTTTATATATCAATGGCTATACATAACTTATATATTATGTAGTCATAATATTCTATAAACATAAAGGTTTAACAACTCTAACAATACTCAAATAGCTAAAATTTTAAGTGGTGGTAAAATTTCAAGAAAAAATATCTATAATGATAAATAATTATAATTACCCAGTTGGCCATATTCTGGCAGGCCAAACGAGTGTAGAGCTCCATTACAGTCCAAGATCATGGAGAACTCCGCACCACAACCGACTTTCACTACTGGAGCACCACTGTATATAAAGATTATAATAATATTTAGTATTTACATACATTTCACTTAAAAAAAAAATTAGACAATGAATAAATAAATAATAAATAAACCATCTAGTTCCATAGTAAGCTATGAGGCTTGTGTTATGGATACCAGATAGTTGATACACTAAATATATATAATTTTAAATACATACATATTATGTATAAATATAAACACCCATGACTGGAGTACAAACATTCATGCTCATCACACAAATGAATGCCCCCAGCGGGACTCGAACCCGCGACCGCTGGTACAGTAAGTAGGGTCATTACAAACTAAGCCAAACGTGTCGTAACGAACTTTTTTAAATAAACTTTTTTTGCTTCTTTAGTTTGTTAAATAAACCGTCTATAATTCTTAAGTAAATAGGTATACTCAAGTATCACCGTAAACAATTCTTATCACCGCGTTATTAGCATTGGAAGAATGAAAGTGAAAACTTTCCCACACATTTGAATGTGACACAAAATAAAATTCCTCTTTGCAACATGTTTCAAAAATGTATCTTTAAATTCATATATTACATATTCAGTACCCTTTTACTTCTCACTGGGCCCGAGCCTCAATGTCTATAAGATATATCGTCTATAAGATAATCTTCATTACCTAACAATGTCTTCCTTTACCTTGAGGCAAGTGGTAATCAAATCAAAAAATCATTTATTGATGTAGGATCAGTACGATCACTTATTAATGTCAATAACATATAACTAATTTTGTACATTTCATAATAAACTAAATAATAAATACATCCCTCCACGACCGCGGGCACGCCGGCGTGTCAGTTAACAATAGATTTCTTAGAAATTTACCTGGAGGTGTTTATTAGTAATTAATATCAGTCCCATGCCTTTTTATAAACTAAATTCTCATTAATATTGTATTACGATTTGGATATAAGTTTACTTCTGACAAATGTTTTAAATTTATTCACTGATAATTCTTTGGCATTGTGTGGTAATTTATTATAAAATCTTAGAGAATTACCTATGAATGAATTGTTCACTTTACGGAGCCTAGTAGTGGGTACTGCAAGTTTATATTTACTTCTAGTATTCAGGTTATGAAAATCACTGTTTTCTTAAATTGAGCAATATTTTTATGGACATATAACAGATTTTCATAAATATTCTGGCAATGTACAGTCATTACGTTAGTTTCCTTAAATTTATCTTTAACAGACTGAATCATGTATCAATCATGAAACCGACAGTTTCTTTAGTTCCCCAAGCAAGCGCCTCCCCACTACCTACCACGGTCTACCATGTATCACATACCATACCATACCATGTATCATATCTAAATCACATTCTTGTAAATAATCAATTGATCTTACGTATATCTGACTCGCGTCGGCTTGAGTATTAGCGGCGTAGTATTTCCGAGGCCACATTGCCCACTCTTGTTGTCGCCGCAAGCGTATACTGTACCCGTATCTGAATGAAATATTAATATAGTAATTTAATTTATAATGTAAATAATAAATAACCATAGAATTATCTAAGTAATAATAGAATTATCACTAATTTTACATGGGATTCAACCTTTTTCATAAAACATAATAAAATCTCCCAAAAGGAGTGTAATGTTGTAAAAAAACAATGTATGTACAACAAATCATAAAAATAATCTATTCCATTATTATAAAAAGCAAAATATTTTTTGTTTGTGTTGATTAGGCTCCAAAACGACTGAACCGATTTAGATGAAATTTGGTAAGAAAATAATTTGAGACCCTGAAAAGTTTTTATTCCGGAAATCATCCCTTAAGGGGGTAAAAATGCGGGTGAACGTTTGTATGGGGAAGCAACCTAGGGACTAAACCGAGCGATAAGAGGGTGAGTCGATATTGTTTACATATTTTAGGCAGTTCTTTTTTTATTTTTTATAGTATTTTATATTGTTAATGTTATTATGGTAACATTTTTTATATTTTTAATGATTATAGTATATATTATAAATTACCAGTCACAAATAAGCTGTGGTTCCTGCCAACAGCAGCATGTATTATATTAAAGCCTTTGAGCGTGGGCACCAGCTCCGGCACATTGCGGGTTGTGGTATCACCGAAGCCGAGTTGCCCACAAGTATTGCGCCCTAAAAATAGTAAAAAAATGATAAGTTTTCACTTATCAATTATAACCCAATATTTTGCTTATTGTCTGACATTTGTCTCCCTCACTTCACTCAGGCGCTAATTCACGCCATGCAATAATGGACTATTTAAGTCACACGTGGTATTGTAATGTACCATTACGGATGCTTACACTGATATGTATGTAAATATTAAAATTTATTACCAAAAGTATAGGCTTCTCCTTCTTCAGAGACGAGGATTGAATGACCAGCACTGCAACCACTAATTATTAGTCTGTACTGTAAAAAAAAAACAAAAAGATTAATTTAATATTATGTATATAAAAGTCATATTTTTGTCATTTAGACATAAAAACGAATTGAGTGTACCTTGCGATCTGTAAACTTATGGAATGTATATAAGTTTGGATGTGTCTTCTTGGATGGGTTATTGTCTCTTTTTGCCACTAAATCCCAGGATACGAGACCAGCAATCATCAATACACCAGGGGTTTTGTAAAAAGTCTTTAGTAATTCCTGAAAAGATTAGATAAATTATATAAAAAAGACAACAATCAAATTGGAAATTGGATGTCATAAAAGTTATAACTGAAAGTTTTTTTTATTATAATATTATATTTTAGAAATCTTATATCTGTAATTTATAAACTTAAAACATATTTCTGACAAATGAACTATTTACATTTTTGTAATGAAAATAACCTAATTTTGCTGCAGTAATTTTATCCATTTACATTTTTTACTGTCTTAATTTATAAAGAAAACCCTATGTTAAATTTATGTTCATATGTTGCTAGATAGCAAAAATAAATAAGATTGTGTAATTGTGTAAATGTAAAGAATTGACAAAATAATATTTTGGTATTAAATTTATATATTTCAACATTCTTAAACTTTATTATGCAGAACACATATTCCTTTATTCATTGCTGGATAACATTTTTTTACTAATTTTTACTAAAAACCCGTGGGACTATGTGTCTAATTAGTTCAGAGAGAAAATGCCTTCATCATGCCATTAAGCCAATGTACAAATGCATGAACATTTTTTTAATGAAATTAAAAATTACAATACGTGTATATAACATTGAAATATCATAGAATCTTTTTATCACACAAACAAAGTATGTCACCTAGTAGAGGTTCAATCTGTAATTTTGAATTTTATCCACAAACAAAAAAATATATTATTAAAAAGCTAAGGTGCTAGTTCTACAACAAAAAAATAATGTACTGAGGATAATGACAATTTCATTATCCTCAGTTCTTATTAACTTGAGAGACAATAGAAAATAAAATACATATATTTGAATGCTTATCACCTGTGTCAACTGAAATGTAAGAGCGAAATCGTAAGGATTTACTAGTAGCCATCGTAAAGTTCCACTAAACCACCTTATCTACATTGTGAGCAGATCAGTCCAATTTTATTACATTTTTCATTTCATATCTATACTAATATTATAAAGAGGTAAAGTTTGTGAGTTTGTGGGTTTGTGAGTTTGTGACGTTATAGGGGGTATCTCTGGATCTAGTGAACCGATTTTCAAAATTCTTTTACCAATAGAAAGCCACATTATTCCTGAGTCTCATAGGCTATATATTAATCCGAAGAATGAAAAGGCTTTTTCGTGGCAGTCGGATTTGCAAAGTAAATCGGAGAAAAAACGATCGAACGAAAACGTTTCTTACGAACGCTGCCTTAACGATGAGAGATATATGATTATGTTCTAGAGAAAAGTTGTAGATGTTAATAATGCCTACAAAAAAGTCAGCGACAGCATATGTCTAACTTTTATATTTAAGTCACAAAAAGTAGTTTTTTATATTAAAAATATAATTTAAATCGGTAGGTCATGTTTATTGGTCATATTATTATTATACACAGAAATCTTAATAATAAGGTAATAGAAATGCCATTGCGGTCTTTTAGTACTGGGACGCGTGTCGCCGGCTTGCAGCTACCAACACATTGACAAACAATAAATACACACTATCGCTCACACATGCATTTTGCATTGTTGCAACAAAAATTAAACTTTAAGCGATGACATTACGCAATATTTTCTAAAAACGCATAATCTCAGAACCCGTGATCCCTGTGACCAATAATAAACGTGTGCGAAAAGCACAGAATGATATCGCGCGCTCACTTCTAGTGCAGCACAAAGCGCATAATGCTCATATCGATAATTTTCCGTTGAGTCTTGCAACAATAGGTAACTAATTTATTGAAAGTGTTTTATGTTTCATTCCTCGACGCGATTTTAGACGATTTATTTATTTTCATATAGGGAATACAATAGAACGTTAAAAGTAAGTAATTTTTTTTATTATTATATAGTTATACACTCAACAGCTACTATATACTCAACAGCGATATATTGTTTTTAATTCTAGTTTAATTTAATGAAGAGTCTGACTGAATTTTGTTTTTATAATGTTTTTATTGACTTGCATATATATGCATAAGTGATATAAAAATTGACTTGTATAACTACATATATGTTATTATATTCTAAATTGGGTGTATACCTTTGCAATAATATTATTATTATACAAAAGTTATGCAAACTATTTGTTAAAATCCTATACATTTTTAACTAATGACTTAAATTTTTTTATAGAATTTCTATGTTATGTTTATCAAACAACTCGCCCTTAGAATTATTTACTCAATCAAATCAAATCAAAAAAAATATTTGGTAAATGCGGAACATGTCAACGATACAAGGATATTCAACGCATACTGTTTTTGACTTACCCATATACATAACAATAATAAGCCTACCTCCTAATAATTTTCTGAATGAAAAAGTAGTTTAAAAGTACGAATTTACAGATAATCGTTGATAAATGACTTTTTATAAATTATTCAGACAGAAAGAGAAAACATACATAATGAGATGTAACAAATATTTAACGAAAAATATTAAGCCAAACGTAATAAATTTTCGATAAAAAATTGTGGTGGCACGTCACTAATTCGCGGCTAACTTATGCGGCGTGTCCTTGGAATTTACGTACGCGACAATATTGTTCTTTACGCATGACTATTATTTCATTGCTGCTTTTAGCAGTTGTAATAATAGACATGAACAAGCTTAAGTGGTAATGGTTATTGAATTGAAAAAAAAAAACGTTTTCCTGCGATAATCGTAGTAGTGGTGGTGAAAACATTTGATTTGGCTATATTTCTTAAAAACGACATTATTTCAAAAATTAAGTACTTACATATGAAATGTTATCCCTTTATTTGTAAAGTTACAAATTTTGGAAGAATTTCCGCAGTTGGATATGCTGCAAAACACCATGTTTACCTCTCCGTGTCTCAAATAACACTAGTTACCGCAACAAACGCTTTACACGCGCTTGTGACCTACGAGTCACATGCGCGGCGACAAGGTCACGCGTCTATGCCACTTCTATTAGCTTATTATTAAGATTTCTGTGTTATTATATATTCTTTATTGCACTAAACAAGTAATAAAAAAATACATAGAAAATTACGTGGACAAAGGTGGACTTATCTCTATAAGAGATCTCTTCCAGTCAACCCATGCACGTGGGAAATAGTGTCAAGTAGCGGGACAGAAAGAGAAAGTGCAGAGAAACGATAAGAAAATATATAAGAATAATCATAAGTAAAACAAAATAAATACAATAATAAACATACATATATACATAAACATACTTATATTATTACAAAACAGAAATGTACACATTTTTCAATTATGAGTTAGAAAATAATTTTTCATATTGATTTTAAACGCATCATTAGAGGGGCTCTCTTGTAGGACTTTGGGAAGTCTGTTCCATAGCACTGCAGCGTGTACCGAGAATGAGTTTTGGAAAAACTTGGTGTTGCTTCTTGGTATGTCAAGCATCGATGTGATGCAGGGCCGCCTGGAACGCGATGGAGTGGGAAGAAAGTTAAGCCGGGAACGAAGGTAAGAGGGAAAATTGAGGTTATGAAGGATGTTGAACAGAAACGAAAGAAGGTGCATATCACGGCGAAGGCGGATAGGGAGCCATTTAAGACGAGCTCGAAAGTCGGAAACATGATCATACTTGCGTAGACCATAGATAAAGCGTATGGCGAGATTTTGAAGACGCTCTAGTTTATTCAGTAGCTCCTCCGTCACATCCAAATAGCATACATCGGCGTAGTCAAGTATGGGTAGTAGGAGAGACTGCGCAAGCATAATTTTGGTTTTGAAGGGAAGAAAGTATTGGAGACGCTTCAGAGAATGGAAAGTGAAGTACATACGCCTACTAACCTCATTGATATGAGGTGTCCAAGTCATGTGGCAATCTAAGATAAGACCCAAGTTCCTTACTTTATCGCGGTAAGGTATTTGGACCCCAGAGTATATAATCCCAGGGACTGACTCCCAATCTATCTTACATCTTAGCCTACTGCTGCCAATAATTATGGCTTGAGACTTATTAGGGTTAACTAAAAGTCCGTAAGATTCGGCCCAAGTTTGTATAGCGACAAGATCATTATTTAAAGCTTCAACAGCATCGGGCAACTCAGTTAACTCAAAATGGCGATAGAGTTGTAAGTCATCAGCATACAGATGGTAGGGAGAAGAAATGACGCGAGATATGTTGTTAATAAAAACAGAAAAGAGTAGTGGTGAAAGAACGCCGCCTTGGGGGACCCCAGCCGTGAGATCTAACCACTCCGACGAAGAGCCATTAGCTCTCACACACTGGCGACGCCCGAAGAGATATGAGGGAAACCAGTCAATAGTCGCAGGAGAAATGTTAACTGCGCGAAGAGTGCCAAGAAGAATGTCGAAATCAACAGAGTTGAATGCACTACTGAAATCAAGGAGTACCATTGCAGTGAGCTTGGTGTTATCCATGGCAAACCAAATATCCTCCGTAATGTTCAGTAGCGCACCAATAGTGCTGTGGAAGGGACGAAAACCGGACTGATAAGGACATAGTAAATTATACGAAGCAAGGTAGGAGTAAACTTGATTGTGCACAATGGATTCTAGGACTTTGGATAGGATAGGTAGGATGGATATAGGACGATACTCATTGAGGCAGGTGGGATTTGTGGTTTTAGGTAAGGGTATGACAAGAGCATTCTTCCATTGAGTTGGAAAAACATTGCGAGCCAGTGAATAGGTAATAATGTGAGTGAGGACTGGAGCAATGCAATCCAATACGGGAATAATCATGTCGAGACTGAGATGGTCACTACCGATGGCTTTGGTAGTGATGGAGCGGATACACTTCTTAATGGCATCTTCTGAGACTGATTCGAAAGAGAAGGAGCCTGGTGGGACAATATTAGATAACTGTGTAAGTGTAGCAGACTTTAATTGTGAGTTTAATGTTAAAGGAGGGATAGTAAAATTGCAAGTTAGCTTATTAAGATCAACCGAGACTTCGCCAGAAGCCGGGGGTTTGCCCACACCAAGCGACTCAAGAAATCTCCAAACTTACGCTTGGGAGAGATTCTGAATTGTAGAGTGAATATAGCGACGTTTGGCGTCCCTACACATTCTGTTGCAGATGTTACGAAGTTTTTTGTATGCTGTAAGATTGTCCTCAGACTTATCAACAATTATGAATTCTTATCAAAATAAGTAAATTTATCGTCTAAAATATTTAAAACAAAAGACTTTTCTCTTTTACTGCATATAATTTGGACAAATGGTTAGAGATAATACAACATATTCGTAGGTATGGACGAACCCGAGCGAGCTGTTTGTCTGTTTTTCTGTTTGTACATTTTATATTTAAACTTGTATATTTTAATTTTGCATTGTAGTACCTTATATCCCCGGTCAACATCTAAAATACTTTTCATTCCAGAAAATTAAAGAGTTTCCGTGGGATATTTAAAAAACTGTAGTAACTTATACAGCTTAGTACACAACAACTTACGCACCTAATTTAGTAAAATTTGGCATGCTGATACCTTATATTGCCGGTCAAACAACAGGTTACTTTTATCCCGGAAAAATGAACAGTTTCCGTGGGATAGATCTGTGTGTGCTTTTCTAGAGGTGAACTCGAGCAAAGCGAGGGTGAGCCGCTAGTATATGATAATTTAATTTTAAAGGTTTTTTTGTTCATTGAGCAGAAACAAACAGAATATGAACATTGAAACATATTATTATATTCTAAGAATAAATTCAAATTTGTCATTTATTATTAACACAACACACAAAAAGTAATACCTTTTGTAAAATAATAATGTTAATATTATATTACATGCAATAACAAAAGGCCAAATTATATAATATATTAATATTTCATATGAAAACAACGAGTCTTTGCATAATGTTAAAATTAACATAAGTTTGCTATTTATGAAATAGTTTTTTCAACTGCATAAGTTACATATTATATATTTATTGAATTCGCAGAGCTATGTTGAATAAAATTTTTCAACAAAATATTTAACAATGTCAGCTATATGAATATAGGAAATATATTATATGGGTGTTTGGTGTACCTATATAATATAAATATATAATATAGCCATAGTAGTAACTACTATTTTGACAGTTAGTATCCTCCCAAAGATTGATAAATTTTTACTTCTTGTGCTTAACAAAAAAAGTATAACCAAAAAAATATGTTTATAGTTCGTACATTTTTACATTTAAATATAAAAGAACACAAATTTTATTATAAATAGGTTTTTAGTAAAATGATGAAAATAAATCACAAACTGATTAACTTATTAATTACAACTAAATCAACAGAAAAATTTATACACCATAAACATATGAGCATTTGCATTTTCAATATAGTTTTACCTAATAATTTTAAAATACTAGGTGTTTCAAATGAAACTAAATTATTAAAATACTTGCCTCCGGTAACTTTTCTGTTGGTTCATCGGGAAGAGGAGAAGGCTCCCTTTGTGGTTCCTGAACTTGATCTGATACTAAAGAATCATTGCTATCTTCATCTTCTGAAAGATTCTTGCGAGGTTTTCGTACTTTCCCAGGACGTCCGGATGGTGGGAGTGTTTTTCTTTTACGGTTTCCATTGTTAGACATATTCTGTAAGTTGACATTTTTGCTATAGTAAGCATTTTTATTACATTGCAAAAAAAAACAACATTAAAGTAATGATGTTAAAAACTAATACTATTTTTACAGTTTCAAATCTAAAAATTATATTAGTTCCATAAAATACTTTTTTTTCAAAATACTTCACATGCTTTGAACTCTTTGAACACATTGGAGTATTGTCAATACCTATACCATATTAATGTAGGGTATATGATATATAAACAAAGTCGGGTTAGTTACACCATTTATAAGTCAAGAACAGTTGGACTAATTTCTAAAAAAGTTTAAAAGAAGAAAGTTAGTTAAAGTTTGAAAGAACTCTAAAGTTGGATTTGTCTCCTCCCTGAATAGCAGAATAACAATTAAAATGTCAGAAAAATTCACGAAAAAAAATATATGTCTAATGCTGACTAATAACTATTTATATTTTTTTAAATTGTATCAGTGAGTCGCTAATATTTTATAAAAAACACTACAGTAGCATTGGATTTTTGCTTTAGTGTAACATATCAAATAAATTTCAATTCAAAAAATGTTAACATTGACTTTGTAAGTAAAAAAGCTGAATATAAATTTTGTTAGTTTCCTTATAAAAATAATTAAAAGCTAAAACCCATATATTGCTCATGAAATATGAAGATAAAAAAAAATACTAATTTACAAATAAAATCAGATTTTTATTATTATAACAAATACTAAGCAACTTTAGTTTACTATAATATAGATCTCTATAGATAGCTATCGCGTGATAAAAAAGCTACGTCACTTGATATAATTTTATTATTATTTATTATTATATGTTCCTTTTTAAATTATTGTTATTACTTTCACTATTTAGATCTTTAATCCTAAAGTTAAAGGTTATAATGTTCATCATCAAAACAACTGTATTAAAATAAGTAAGCCGGATCGAATAAAACAATGAACATTTTAAGTATTGTTTTAATTTAGCTTTTAAGTCATAAACATTACAATTATTATCTTTATGGAATTTCAATAGGCTAAACAAAACTTATTTATAACACAATTCTAAGTAATTTAAGCTATGTAACGAATAGATAGATTTAAAACCCTCGTAATGGGTTCCCTAAACTACCGGAGTTCGGACACGTGCCATGTAATAACATGTATTTGTCTAGATTTAACAATATTTGAACATAATGACCAAAACAAACATAATTAACTTTATTTTCAAACTAAAAACACTTACCAAACCTTTAATACAAGTTATAAAAAATAGGAAATAATACTTTTAACGACAGTCTGAACAAGCGCTAGCTTAATAGTATAATGATGGGGATACCGCGAAAAAATTATTATTATCCCATATCATTCGTGTTTTCTTTCATAAAATAAGTTTAGATGTATTGCAAACATTGCCAGTATATGGAAAAAGAATTAGGCCCATTTATAATGGTAGGAGAAATCGTGTGTTTAATTATATATGATTATAAGATTTTCATTTAAGCTTAGTAAAATTCTTTTTAAAGTAATCCAAAGTCATAAAAATTAATTATCAGTAATTTTATGCATTTGCAAAATAATAAAAAAAAACTTATTTATATAATATATTATCTGACTCTATAAACGGACTTTAAAGCTAGTTTACATATATGAATTTCTTTCATAAAATATATTTTAAATATAATTAATCATAATTTATAATGTAAAATTATATTTTTTTATAATACTAATTGTAAAATCTTCGTAAAATAAACTACATTTCTATATATTTTACATCTTTAATTATAAATGTAATGACTATCTTACATTATTTACATTAAATGTATTAACCTCTTGATTAAAATTTAAAAAGTTAATATTATAAATTCATAGCTAACCAAAATAGAAAGAGGAAACCATTATATTGAGAAAAAATGAATGAAGCTTACATGTTTAAATGTTTTGGGTCTTTCTAACGCTTTATATCAAACATATGATGATATTGTACGTTATTGCAAATTTAATATATTTGACATATTTTAGTGAATATTTTAATTTAATCTTAGTATTGTTGTTTAAGAAAAAAGAAAAAAGAGATCTTTATTTGCATTTGAATAAATAAGTGTAAATAAAGAAAACCTTGTATTATCATTCAAAGTAAATTAATATAATCTTCTAATTTCATTATTCAAGGTAATATTTGAAATTTATTATTTTAATACTTTCTTAGATTTACGCGAATATTTGACATTTTAAATAAAACTATCTTTTCGGATTTTGTCGCGGATTTATTTGCATTTTTGTTTCCCGACGACAATTATAATTAAAATTATAAAAATGTTTAAAGTTAAAAAATATTGTAATGTAATTGGTGCAATTTTCATTTTGTTAATTGTGGGTAGGCTGCCTGTAACAACTATACCTTCAAGACATGTAACACCTCAGTCTCTCCCGTGACCATGGATGCTGTAAAGCATTCGAAACGTCGGGAAACGTCGAGAAACAAAAATGCAAATAAATCCGCGACAAAATCCGAAAAATTAGTTTTATTTAAAATTTATTATTAAAAAAAAAACAATCCTTTGCATGTAAATACATATATATATTTAAATATTATTTTCTAGTCTATGGCTGTATGATATTAGTACCTTTGCGTTATTCAAAACTTATGAAAAAAAAACAATTTATACATCAAAATTCAAAATAATCAATACTGTCGTGATCGTCTAGTTCAATATCGATTCATATTGGTCTAGCTGGTAGCTAAAGACTAGATTGATAGTCTATTAAAGAAAAAAGTTTAAGGGAATACAGAAAAGCTGTTTCTAATCATGAACATTCCATTTCCAATTATATATCCGAGTATGATCGGACCGGATTGGTTTAATGCTGATAGACCTTATGACGAGGATGCTGAATTAACAAGGCTAGAAGAGGCAAATCAACGTTGGGTAGGTGTCTAATTAATGAAGAATTATTAAATTATCTTATTCTTTGTATATAGCTAAGAACTAGAGACTCACTTTCACTTCGCTCGGGTTCGTCCCTAGGTTGATTCCCCATATAAAATTTCATCCCCATTTTCACCCTTTAAGGGATTATTTCTGCGATAAAAACTAATATATTATTCCCAGGATCTCAACTATCTTCTTACCAAATTTCATCGAAATCGGACCAGTAGTTTCGGAGCCTATTCAGTACAAACAATCAAATCTTTCCTCTTTATAATATTAGTATAGGTAATAGAAATTAGAATGGCTAGAATCTATTCAGATAAATAAAATTGAAGTGTCTGTTTGTAATGTCAAAATAATAGCTTTGTAATAAATGTATATGAAATTATATACTTATAGTACTTATAAAATACAGACAATTTTTTTTAATTGTATGTGCTTGTTCCGGCTAATCTCCGAAACGGCTGAACTGATTTTGACAGGACTTTCATATGTGGGGTATCATTGATTAGGTATTTAAAAATCATTTTTAGGTTTCTTTCATCATTTTTCATTTTATATAACAATTTAGGATATATATTGTTTTAAAGTTGGTTAGCAACCATTGTCGCTAATTTTTCTACTTAAAAATACCTAAAAAATAAAAATATATACAACTAATATGTTTAAAAGTGATTTAGGATAAAAAATAGCTAAATAGAACTTCAAATGTCTAATTGGCAAAAACTAAGAAGCTCTAAATAAAAAAATGTATTATAAAAATAAAAAATCCCGACTAAATTATTATAAAAATAAGTATTATAGAAATAAAAAATCCCGATAAAAGCTAACTATAAAGAAAAACTTTACGAAGGAAAATAGTATTATGCAGTCGGAGACATACATACGAGTATGTACATCTCGCGGCAAGGATAAAACGTGTATGTTTCTGACTGCATAAAGCTACATATATTCCTTCATGAAAAAAAATAACCATTGAGAGCATATTATATATTTAAGATTTTTGGAATAATTACAACCCTTTTTAAAAAATAAATTAATCATTATTTCAGTGTTCCTTGAGACTAACAATCACTTAATTTTTCTTCAGTGATTGTAAATGTCAAGGAACACTGAAATAATATTAATTTTATCTTTATTTATTTGTTTAAAAAAGGTTGCTATTATTCCAAAAATCTAAAATATATATATAATATGCTGTCAAGGGTTACCTAAAACCTCGCGTTAGTTTTGAGCTTCTAGCTGTTGCGGTTTCTAAGATATGCCATTTTGAACGAAAGTCATAGTTACGTTCATTTTTCTTCATATCTCAAGGTCAAAGCGTAATGAATGAATGTTAATAATTATAAAATAGTGTTTGTTATAACTGGTAAAAAACATGTTGGATGCCTGGAATCAATCATCATATCAATCCATCCATAGTTCTTAGAACTGAGCTCTTCTGTTTGTGCACGGTTTAAGGGTAGGTAAATTAAATAAATTATTAACTATAATTAAAGTGTCATTCTTGCAGTTGAACTCAATTGGCAAAAAGTATATGAAGCCTGTGCCAATGGAGAAGCCTAATCCAGCGCCGGTAGAGGAAGCCGAAACCGATGACGATGGTATTTATAGTCAAATCATTCAAATTCATTAATTATAACTGGGTTCCGTCATTTTTCATTTATAATGACTAATTGCACTCGACTATATAATATTGAAATTTTCAATTTTAATTGTCTTGATTTTAGTGTTCATCGTGACCGGAAATGAGGACGCAGAAGAAGAATCGGAGGAGTCTCATGATGTTGACGAAGATGACGAAATGTTGACTACTGAGTCACCGCCACAAAACAATGAAATGGAGTCGGAAAGCCCAGAGCAAGTCACTGATACAGCTGATCTTGAAGTCGAGGCTGCTCTGTGGCCATATGTACCCCAGGCCCAAGATCAGTAAATTACATGTTTACGCAACATTTCCCCATCGCATATACCCTGAAAGCTTGCAATCCTTTTATTGATATACTCAATATCATAAATACTCAATATATAATCGTAGTATTTTATATTTATTGCTCTATATTATATATTAATCACGTTTTTTTCTCGGGAATGAAGGGAAGGCAATTGGAAGGCAATCTTTTTCTTCAAAGACATAATGGAATATTCGTATATGTAAAACTAAATATGACAGGAGCCTAACTTTGCACAATCTAACTTATGAGCTGTGTTACCACTACTAAAGACTGTTGAAAGAAAGATAAAATGGCTTACATGTATTAATATTATTAATCAATTACGTATATGAGTATAGTTTATTACTATTATTTAAAACTTTTTTTACATTAATTTAATTAATATTATTTAAAATATACATTATTGTTTACCAAAGTGAAACTTGTGGTAAAGTTAATTTATATTTTGTGTACGGAGTGATTTATCGTTTAATTTTAAGTAATTCTAATATGTTTAGTAAGTTTAATTATAAGTTTAGATTTCTATCATTTATGTATACTTATTGATAATAATATCAAATAAAATTCTTTAGAAGCATATTTTTTTATTTATTGATCAATTAATCTGTCTTACCTAACCAGTTGTAAACTTCGTAATTTATTGATGGACATTTAATTATACATTTAAACGACGGTTATTGTACTCTTAAGAACTTAGTACTTACTTTTGTTGAAACATGTGAGTCAAGTCACTGTTCAAGAAATCTAAGAAAAATGATTATAATTACATGTATATTTCGATCATATGACTTAACTATTTAAAATTGTTAAAAGCTCAAAACTGTTTTATTCATATACTAGCGTCTCACCCTCGCTTCGCTCGGGTTCGCCTCTAGAAAAACACTAATAGAAATCTATTAGTTCCCACGGGAACCGTTCGTTTTTCCCGGATGAAAAGTAACCTGTTGTTTGACCGGCAATAAAGGTATCAGAATGTTAAAATTTACTAAATTAGGTGCATAAGTTGTATAAGTTATAATAGTTTTTTAACTATCCCACGGGAACCATTTAATTTTCCGGGATAAAAAATATCTAAGACGTTGTCCGGGGATATTAGGTACCACCATGCAAAATTTCATTTAAATCGGTCCAATAGATTCGGAGATTAGCCCGTACAAACAGACAAACAGACAGAGAAACAAAAAAATTGAAAAAAATCTGGATTTGTTCTATTTGTCTTCTTACATCCCCCTGACTCGCGATGGCTTATTATTGGCGTATTTCATGTATAACTTTGGTGTTTCTATACTGATTTCTATGATTCTTTTTTATGGAATAGTTTATAATGTTAACTTTTTTAATTAGAGATGACTGAGAGTGTTATAAACGTAAGAGTAGACAAATATTAATCAGAAAGCTTCGAACTGCTAAGCTATCGGGAGTTACACGTGTTATTGTGAGTCAACCATAAAAGATAGACATATGCTGTCGTGGGATATTTTTTATATAATTTTAAGGAGTACATTTCCGTCATACATGATTTCTGTGTAGCTTTAACCATTAAGGTTGCACACGCGACGGAAGCTTAAAAAATGGAGTAACTTCTCCCGTTTTCCCAACATTTCCCTTCACTGCTCTGCTCTTATTGATTGTAGGGTGATAAAAAGTATACTTTAACCAGCACAGGAGTATGATAAATAATTGTACCAAGTTTCGTTAAAATCCGTCGAGTAGTTTTTGTTTCTATAACGGTTATACAGACAGATATACAGACAGATATACAGACAGACAGACAGACAAAAATTTTACTGATTGCATTTTTGGCATCAGTATCGATCCCTAATCACCCCCTGATAGTTATTTTGGAAATATATTTCATGTACAGAATTGACCTCTCTACAGATTTATTATAAGTATTAATTTTAAGGAGAACATTTCCGTCATACATGATTTCTGTGTAGCTTTAACCATTAAGGTTGAACACGCGACGGAAGCTTAAAAAATGAAGTAACTTCTCCCGTTTTCCCAACATTTCCCTTCACTGCTCTGCTCCCATTGATTGTAGCGTGATAAAAAGTATACTTTAACCAGCTCAGGAGTATGAAAAATAATTGTACCAAGTTTCGTTAAAATCCGTCGAGTAGTTTTTGTTTCTATAACGGTTATACAGACAGACAGACAGACAGACAAAAATTTTACTGATTGCATTTTTGGCACCAGTATCGATCCCTAATTTCCCTGATAGTTTTTTTGGAAATATATTTCATGTACAGAATTGACCTCTCTACAGATTTATTATAAGTATAGATAATAAATAAACTTATCGTCATTAGCATCCGGCAATCTAGCCGGGCGCGAAACCAAGAGACACACAGGGAGGTGGCCCACTTGGGTGTATATCTTGCGGGTTGTATGTGCGGCGCCCCATTAAGACTGGGGAGGTTATGTTGGGTTTTAGTGGGTAGTATTGGCTTATCTAGCCGGTGAGTTTCACATAACCACCACCAACCATAACCATAGGTGGGTATGTCGGACTTATAGTTATACCCTTAACCTACCTTAACTTTAGGGCATACTGCATCCAGGTTAAATATTATTTTTAATTTATTTACATTTCAAATATCAATCCGCCAGTGCAAGAACTCTTTTGTATTTCGACTTATTTAGTTATACTACCTATCACTTTATTGCACACGAAAATAGTACATAAAAAAAAACACAATTAAAGCGATATATCATTAATAATATCGTGAATAAGCTGGCAGTGAGGTGGTACATTTTTCCTAGTGGAATAAATTTTATATCATAAAATATTATTCAAAACACAAAATTCCGCTAAGTCCTTTAGATGCTGTACCTTTTCCGTCAATGTGAAACTTGATACCTGTAAATGGTTCCTCTATTGTAGATGTCTCCTCTTCATTTGGAATATCATATGGTTCGTATGGACACTCGCATCTCACATTCTTAGGTTTTTTCAATTTGCCATTACAATCACAAATTTCTTCATTTATTTTATCATTGTCCAGATTTTCCGCAAAGTACCTTAAAGCTTCCTCAAAACTTAATTCTGAGTCAGAATTATTTTTTGCAATTTTTATTTTGAAACCGGAAGTAGTCTGAGTTAAGTCTGATTGAATCTTTCTCAATTGTTTGTCATCAAGCCATTCATTTTCATCGATTTCAATTTCGGGTTCAGGTTCTTCGGGACATTCACAAATTATATTTTTTTTATTCTTCAGTCGTGTCTGATCTTTACACTGGCATTTATTTTTTAAATTAGAGTCCTCAGTTTTATAATTGAGTTCTGTACTATAGTTATCTAAATTTGATATTTTATGGTGTTGTTCGCACGGGCATAAGTGTTTTTTATCTTTGTCACTGCTTATACAAGATTGTAAATTCGATTTTGAAGAACTACATGAATTACATTTATTGTCTCGAGTTGTAATTACATAAGGTTTTCGGATTCGTTCTGCAATATAATTCATAAAATTAATTTGAACGTATTTAAATCATCTAACAAAGTTCCTTTCACTGTCTGCTGGGTCATAAATTAGGTCATAAAAATAAAAAAAATCACGAGAACTGAGGTATCATAAACATCAAGCAACGCACTTTGTACATGTTGAAGCTCATCGAAGAAAGGCTTGTACAGAGGGCATACGAATTTCTTACAACATAATGTATGTTTAACCTTGATACTCGTGCTCGTCTGGTTTTTGGACTTTGATGACGTCACATTATGGGCTGCCTTTAGCTCTTAGCTCATAATATCTGGTGACAATAACTGTCACAAATACAACCACAAGTCTCAAGGAAGAGGAAGGACTACTCACTACATACATTCCTTAACACTTATGATCGACTGACCTAGCGTTACAAATTAAAAAATATATATTTATAAAATAAAAACCGACTTCGACGCTATTTTTTCAAGTTCAAACTTATGTTTATTTCAATTTAATGATAAACGAAACTATTTTTGAAATATAATCCATGCGTATGCATATTATATTATGAAAATAATAAAATAGTAAAAAGCGAAACCTGCACATAAATATATTTTAAAAGTAATGACTTTTATGTTTTGTGTACATAATATAGAACAAATTAAATAAAATTAAAATTGTTGTCTGGTTGTTTGTATGTCTGTTAGCTTTTCACCCAGAAGGTATTGAACGGATTTTATCTAAATTTTGTGTATAGAATATCAATAACTCGTTACTCAGGTCAACATTTAGAATACCATTTACAACCGCAAAACCTCTCATTCCCACGGGAAAACATAATAGCTGATTTATTACACAAAAACTTTTAGTAGCAGGATTATAATTACAATATTTAACAATTTAGTGCGGTCTCTCATTTTCACGGGAAAATACAAAATTTAGTTCTAGCGCAAGTATATACATATGTACGTACCTACACAGTGTAAAACTAAGTCGCTATTTGCCTCTGGCTGTTTCTCCGCTTATTTGTTTTAAAGTACACAATGGATTTTGATACAGTTTTCACTAAGAGAATTCGCAGGGAGGTTTGTGTATATAGTTTGTAAATAATAAATAAATTTGTATAAAATGACTCAACTGTGACAGTATTTTAGCAAAATAAAACTGTTTTCATATACTTATATGGCTTACGATGGCTAAACCTTAAGAGCTACATCAAAACAATGTACTAGTAAATAGGTCATAAGGTCTACAGAAAAGTCCGCGTGAGCCTTTTTTAGGGTACATTCATAATAACTACTTATTTTTACCTATGTAAAACGTAGCATGTAAGTTCCTAGTAACATAATATATGTAAATATATTATACATATACTAGCATTGCCCGCAGCTCCGCCCGCGTTCAAATGACCAAAAACCAAATTCTTATGTTTTACATATTAGTATACTCTTACATTGTAGTTTTTGTATTTTTATCAGAAATGAGATATTTTCCCGCAGTAAAAAGTATCCTATAAGTTAACCCGGATAACCAGCTATCAGTATACCAAATTTCTTCCAAATCCTCTCAGTGGTTTTTCTGTGATGCGGTAACAGACAAACAGACAGACAGACAAAAATTCTAAAAACTATAGATTCGGCCTCTGTATCGATATTAATCATGTTTATTTGAATAAGACTTTTCAAGTAATATTTAATGCACAGATTCGGCTTAGTTACAATTTTATTATATGTAGGCATAGACTAGCAGAACCCGCGACTTCGCACGCGATAAAACTACATAAAAACTCTAAAAACTTACGTTTCTTAAAAACGTTCATCTCCTATTTTACCCTCATATGGGAAGAATTTCGAAAAATATTAAAACATGTATTTATTTAATTGTACTGAAGAGCATTAATACCAAGTTTCAAGCTGTAATTCTGATCATAAATAATTTGTTGGATTGTATTGTGTTTTCTGGTGGAAATAAGATAACCTTAACCCTAACCCGAGGTTAAAAGTAGCCGGTGTCACTCCCCGGCCCTCCACAAAATAAATTACGCCTATCCGTCTCTCTAATTCGACATGAAAGAAAGACAAATAACAAACAAACACACTTTCACATTTATAACACACTAGCAGAACCCGCGGCTTCGCTCGCGCTAAAACTACAAAAAAACTAAAAAGGTAGGTTTCATTTTATTTGTTTCACATTTATATTATTATTATGGATGTATAGATTACTAACCATGATCTAGTTTAACGTGCTTTCTACGAAATAATTCTTCTGAATTCCCACAAGCTTTTGATATTAATTGTATCGTATTTTTTTCAAACATTTCCTTCAGTTTTATGGGACTGCAATCGCAACTCTTGTATAAATTGGGGTTCAGAATAATATGGGGTTGTGCTAGACTTTTAATATTCGGCGACTTGTTTGCATGGCAAGATTGATTTCCACTGCACGATGGTATTTTACACAAACGAACTGGTGTCGTCTTACAACGATTGGATTGGTGTATTGGTAAGTGAGATGGTCGTATAGCATTAGCAAGTGGCAAATCTAATATATAAGAGTTATTAATTAAACCTGTAATTGGTAGTAGTGTTAAATATTTTAAATTGAAAGTTCTTTGAAAAGCAATTTTATATATTTTTAAACATGTTGTTAATTTAGTACCTTGCGCAACTACTTCATCGAGAATCATGGGTGTCACGAACTCGGAGACAACGTTGTCTATTCGTTGTGTCATTTTGTTGTTTTCAACATTTTTAGCATTAACTACATTACAGCAGCAAGGTTTATCCTCTGTAGTATCTGTACTTATTATCTTAAGTTTATTCGAACCACTGTTTGGTCGATAATCATTATTTTCTTGATTTAATTGGGTTGTGTGACTTTTCTTAACTTTATGAGTTTTCGGTAATATGCGACTACTATCTGTTTTAACAACGTGTCGCGGATTTTTTCGTTTACATATTTTGAAACCCTTTTGATGAACATCTAGAAAATCAATGGTTAAAATTATCGTTATTACTAGCAGAGCCCGCGGCTTCGCTCGCGCTAAAAGTACAAAAAAATATTTAAAAGGGTAGTTTCATACAAACTTTCAGCCACTATTTTACCCCCTCATAGAATGAATTTCGAAAAATGCTAAAACAAGTATTTATTTAATTTTATTGAAGAGCATTAATATCAAGTTTCAAGTAATTCTGATCATAAATATTTTTTTGGATTGTATTATAACGTGTTTTCCCGTGGAAATTAGATAATCTCCCGCGGTAAAAAGTAGCCTATGTCACTCTCCAACTATCTTCACACAATAAATTACGCCAATTCGTCTCTCCGTTTTGACGTGAAAGAAGGACAAACAAACAAACAAACAAACAAACACACTTTCACATTTAAAATATTAGTATGGATTTGTAAGAATAGAATAATAATATTATTAAATCGAAAAATATCAAACTAACGGTGGAGGCCACTATTTCCAGGATTCCAATTAGGGCGATCTTCAGAAAGCTCAAGACAAATGGTTGAGCTATCATTACTAATTGAGCAGCCATCCGATGAACTCGCAACAATAATGATAATTGAAGACGAATTTTTCAATTGCGGCTTCGAAAATGTCCGGTTAAAAACTTTCAGAATTTCGTCTTTATCACTGATTTCGTCGACATAAGCAACATAGTTGTCATGATTTAGATTATCTAATATTTCTTTGTTTACGTCGCTTATTCTATATATTTGAATATCATTATTTAAATTATTTTCTCTGTACATTGGAAATTCTAATAGGTTTTTTTATATTCTGAGGAATATTTGTATAGAGCTAAAGAAACATTACTGAAAAAATAAATATTTCATAAAAAAACATGTACCTAACAATAAAAAATTGAGTTCCATACCTTATTTTTTTATTTGTATCCTGTAGCATTAATATATTTTGTAAATTTTCATAGTTATTTGTGTAATACTTTAAGAAACTTTGTTTGTCTAAGCTAGAATTATTTGAAATGCTTGTAGTAGAAATTGACCATACACTAGCTATACTGGATATTGTTATTAAGCTCAAAGAAGAATTTGTTTTTAAAAAGTATATAGAATCAAAACTATTTGATATATTCGAGGAATAATCATAATGTAAAGATGTTGAAGATTCTTCATTTTTTAAAAATAGGTTAGAGGTATCGGTATTATTTACTTTTCCATTAAATTCGTTAGCAATGTAGCCATTAGAATACCTCTGATTCTTTTTGAAGCGTTCTTGTAAATATATTTCAGTTTCTGATTTTGAAATATTATTCAATTCATTTACATTTGTATTTTTGTCATTTAAAAGAATATTAAATTTAGGAACGCAAGTGAGCGAAGAGCAATTTTTGTGTTGATACAATCTTCTTGATGAATTAGATGAAACGCACATTACTCGACCCACTGTTACTTTAATACCTTCATTATCAGTAAAAACTCCTCCATTTACTCCTGGTACGCATTCTTCAGGGCAAGGACATAAAGAAGATATGTCAGGAGAAGTAACTCTAATTTTTATATAACTGTGCTTAAACCTTATTTTCTTTTTGTCACAACCACAACCCCGATCGCATGTTGTAGTTTTAATAATATCTTGAAATTCTTCGACGATACCACCTTTTGATTTTATTTTTTCTACTCCTCTTACACTACGGCGAACACCAGGAGCACCAACCCTTTTTGACTTTGTCTTTATTGTACCCTTCTCAGAAATTGCTCGTTCTGGTGTAACTCCAGCTTTTGTCTTAACTTTTTGAATTAAAACCTTCTCAGACGGCGTCTTTCCCTCTGGTAGTGGTAGACCAGCTTCCACTAAACCTTTAAGAATTTTTTCTTTCTTTTCCGGTGTTTTACCTTCTAAGGGTGTTAACAATCCTGCAGTCTTTGCTTTTTTTATTTTTTCCGATGGAATAGCTTGTTTTATTTTAGCTATAATAGCTTTTTCAGATGCCGTTCTTCCAACAGGTAACGGTAACCCTAATGCAGCTTGCTTTAGCAATTTTTTTTCTTTTTCAGTATTTGTCTTTCCTTCTAATGGAACTATAACATCATCTGCTATGGCCTTATTATATTTTAATTTCATTGATGGAGTTTTTGGTTCCGGTGGCAAACCAACTTCATTGCGAACTTTGTCTATTAGTTTCTTTTCTGATGCTGTTTTTGCTTCAGGTAGCGGAATTCCTCGCAGAGCTAGTTCCTTCAAGATCTTTTCTTTTTGTTCTGGAGTTTTTCCTTTTAACGGTGTCATCAGTCCTGCGGCTTTTGCTTTACGTATTTTTTTTGACGGGACTTTTAACATTTCTGCTTCTTTAGAAACTTTAATAGGACGAGCATCCACGGGTACTTTTTCAGTTTCAGGTGTCAATATACCACAAATGCATTTATCACTAGGACCTTTTCCTTCTTTCAAAACTTTTGCTGTTTTCTTATCTAATTTTGCTACTTTCCCAGGAGGCATAGCTGGGCGGCTGACTTTCTCAATCGATTTTGCTAATTTTGGTACCTCCGCAGCGGATATAGTTTTAATTTTGGCAATGAGGGCTTTTTCCGAGGCAGTTCTACCTTCAAGTAAAGGTAGACCCATTTGAGCTTGACCACGTAAAATTTTTTCTTTCTGAGCCTCAGATTTTCCATGCAATGGAGTAATTAGTCCTTCAGCCTTTGCTTTATCATATTTTTCCTGTAGTGATGCCGTTTTTGGAATTGGAGGTAATCCGACTTCAGCTCGTACTTTATTTATTAACTTTTTCTCAGAACTAGTTTTAGGTTCTGGTAGCGGTATACCTTTTAAAGCTAAATCTTTTAGAATTTTTTCGTTTTGTTTTTCCAGAGTAACAGGTTCTGGGGCCTTAAATTTTCGTATTTTTTCTGATGGCACACCTTTTAATGAAGATACTGTTTCTTTAATTTTTTGAATCAGAGCTTTTTCAGATGGTGTTCTAGGTTCAGGTAACTTAAGGCCAATTTCCTTTTGACCACGAAGAATTTTTTCTTTCTGTGTTTCCGACTTTCCTTGAAGTGGAGTTATAAGCCCAGCCGCAATAGCTTTTTTATATTTAACTTTTTCAAATGACGTTTTTGGCTCTGGAGGTAAGCCGACAGTAGCACGGATATTATCGATAATTTTTTTTTCAGATGCAGTTTTTCCCTCTGGAAGAGGAACTCCGTGTAAGGCCATATCTTTCAGTATTTTTTCTTTTTGTTCGGGTGTTTTTCTTTCTAATGGTGTAAGGATTCCGGCAGCTTTAAGTTTCTGTATTTTTTCCGGTGGTAACTGTTTTTCTACTGACTTCAGAACTGATGCTTTGACTTTAGCTATAAGCGCTTTTTCTGATGGTGTTCGACCTTCCGGAAGAGGAAGACCTAACTCAGCTTGGGCTTTTAATAGTTTTTCTTTTTGTACAGCTGATTTTCCTTCTAAAGGAGTTATTAGACCAGCAGCGATGGCTTTATTATAATTTTCTTTTGCTGAAGGTGTTTTTGGTCGGGGTGTCAAACCAAGATCTGTGCGTACCTTATCGTGTATTCTTTTTTCAGATGCAGTTTTTGGTTCAGGAAGTGGTATTTTTTGCATAGCTAATCCCTTAAGTATTTTTTCTTTTTGTTCTGGGGTTTTCCCTTCCAGTGGTGTAAGAAGTCCTGCTGCTTTAGTTTTACGAAGTTTTTCTGATGAAATTTTTTGCGAAAGCTTTTTAGGAGCTGGTATACTGATTTTTTCTCTTTCAGAGTCAGGCCATAATAAATCGCAAATACATTCATGACTAGGACCTTTGCTATCTTTCATGCCTTTAGCCGTACTTTTATCTAATTTTTTTAATTTATCTGGGGGTAGTGAAGGTCGTGGAGGAGTCGAAGGTCGTGTTGGTATTATGCCTTTCTCAGCTTGAATTTTATGTATCAATGCTTTATCTGAAGGTGTTTTACCTTCAGGTAAAGGTAGTCCACTTTTTGCTAGTCCCCTTAAAATTTTTTCTCTTTGAGCTGGAGTTTTACCTTCCAAAGGGGTAAGAATTCCTTTAGCTTTGGCTTCTCTTAACTTCTCAGAAGGCACCTTCCCTTTGAAAGTTTCTTTAGTGACTTCACTAAATTTTGGTAATGGAGCTGCCATTTCAGGAGAAACCCCTATTGCTGCTCGAACTTTTTCTGTAATAGCTTTGTCTGATGGTGTTTTTGATTCTGGTAGAGGCAAACCTTGTTTAGCAATATTTCTTAAATTTTTTTCTTTTTGAGATGGTGTTTTTCCATGTAAAAGTTTTGAAGATTTTGCGATTACATCTTTCATAAAATTTTTTTCTGAGGGGGATTTTGGTTCTGGTAAAGGAAGCCCTGCAGCTAATTGCCTTCTAATTATTTCTTCTTTCTGTGCAGGAGTTTTGCCCCCTAATGGCGTAAGAAGACCAGCAGCTTTGGCTTTACGAAGTTTTTCAGAAACTTCTGGAGATTTCACTTGCAAAGCTACATCTTCTTTTACTTTTTTTATTAATTGTTTTTCTGATGGTGTTTTTCCTTCCGGTAATGACAAACCTGCTTTTGCTAAATTTCTTAGAATTTTTTCTTTCTCTTCTGGAGTTTTACCTTCTAAGCTAATTTTCCGAACTTTTTCTGAAATTATATCTGATGGTTTAATACCAGCTCGAATTTTATTAATTAGTTCCTTTTCTGAAGCAGTACGCGCTGCAGGTAAATCTATTCCCATTTGAGCTTGCTTATTAAGTATCTTTTGCTTTTGTGATGGAGTTTTACCCTCTAACGGTGTTATAATACCAGCTGCCTGAGCTTTGGCGTACTTCTCTTTTAATGAAGGTGTTTGTGGTATTGGAGGTAATCCTAAATCATTTTGAATTTTTTGCATAATTTTTTTTTCAGATGCTGTTTTTGGTTGAGGTAGAGGTATCCCTCGCTTAACCAAACCTTTTAAAATTTGTTCTTTTTGTGCTGTTGATTTACTTTCTAATGGCGTTAAGAGACCAGCCGCCTTGGTAGATTTAAGTTTACTAGATGGTATTTTAAGTGGCGGTGAAATTTTGGACACTCTAGATATTCCTTGTTCTTCTGGTGTTAATAAACCACATATACACTCATCACTGGGACCTTTACCTTCTTTCATTACTTTTAATGTTTTATTGTCCAGTTTTTTTCTTTTTTCAAGAGGTAACGCTGGTGGACCAACGCCCTTTTCTCGAGATTTAATCTTTTTTTTTTCACTCTGTTTGATTTTTTTTATTAAAGATTTTTCAGAAGGAGTTCTTCCTCCAGGAAGAGGAAGACCAAAATCAGCTTGAGCTTGTAGAATTTTTTCTTTTTCGGCTGGTGTTTTACCTTCTAATGGAACAAATAATCCAGCAGCTTCTGCTTGTTTATATTTCTCTTTTTCACTTTTAGACTTGGGTTCTGGTGGCAGCCCAACATCTGCACGAACTTTATTCATTAATATTTTTTCTGATGGAGTCTTACCTTCAGGGAGTGGAACGTTATTCATTGCTAAATTTTTAAGGACCTCTTCTTTTTGCTCTGGAGTTTTTCCGCGTAATGGTGAGACCAGACCTGCCACTTTCGTTTTAACCTTTTCTGGTTTGACGCTAACTTCTGAAGTGACGGGAGCACTTGCTTTTACTTTTGCTATAAGAGATTTTTCCGATGTCGTACGACCAACTGGTAATTCTACTCCTAAGTCGGCTAAACCTTTTAAAATTTTTTCTTTCTCTGGTGTTGATTTTCCTTCAAGAGGAGTCACCAATCCTGCTTTTACAGCTTTTTGGTATCTTTCTTTCGCAGAAGATGTTTTTGGTTGAGGCGGCAGCCCCATCTCTTCAATCACTTTGTCAATCAGTTTCTTATCAGATGCAGTTTTACTTTCTGGGAAAGGAATGCCATTTCTTGCAAGCTCTTTAAGAATTTTTTGTTTTTGTTCGACAGACTTTCTTTCAAGAGGTGTTAATAATCCTTCTGTTTTTGCTTTGCGGAGTTTTTCTGATAAAGCTTTTTCAGCCATCAATGCTCGTGATGATACTTTACTCTTTTCTGGTTTATCAGCTATTTCTAAAGGAGCTTCTGCTTTTACTTTAGATACAAGAGCTTTTTCTGATGGACTACGACCTTCAGGCAATTGAACCCCTAAATTAGCTAATCCTTTTAAAATTTTTACATTTTCTGATGGAGACTTTCCTTCCAGAGGGGTTATAAGTCCAGACTCCAAAGCATTATTGTATTTTTTTTTGTCAGAAGTAGTAAGTGGTTCGGGTGGAAGTCCAACATCTTTACGAACTTTGTCTATTAGCTTTTTGTCTGATGACGTCTTACCTGCTGGAAGAGGAATTCCATTCATCGCTAATCCTCTCAAAATATTTTCTTTTTGTTTCGGAGTTTTTCCTTCTAGATGAGTGAATAACCCCGCCTCTTTTGCCTTACGTAATTTTGCAGAAGGTATTTTTTTCTTTGACATAATTGCTTCTGCTTCTGGTACTATGCCTTCTGCCGAAAATCGTCGAGTGGCTTTAACTTTTTTTATTAGTTCTTTCTCTGATTTTGTCTTCCCTTCAGGTAAAGGTACCCCAGATAGGACGAGGTCTTCTAATATCTTTTCTTTTTCAGCATCACTTTTATCTTTTAAAAGAGATGATACGTCTTTAACTTTTTTGGCTTTGGTTTTTCTTCTTTCTTTTTTTTTTTTTTTACTAACTTCCTTTATTCCAAAAGCTGACTTACGCATCTCACCCAAACGTCTTTCTTCTCTAGGTAAATGGCCACATAATATACAATTACAATTATCACAATTTTTCTTCTTATAACAGTCGTACAGACTTTTCATTACTTCAAACATAGCATCTGAATTACATGAACAACAACAACTTTCTTCTTGTATATCAAATTGACAACGATATATTTTATAGCTAGGTTTAAAAAATGAGTCGCGAAAATAGTAAGAGTGTTCCGCACCATTGATTACATTGACTATATAGTTCATTCTAAAAGGATTGGATTTTCTCGATATAATTTCATCACTACTTTTAGTTTTAGAACTTAAAGTAGTATAATCTATATTCCTTAAAATTGGCAAACTATATTTTCTCATTATCTCAGGATATTTTTTTTTACAATATACGCCACTGTCTCTTGTAAAAATATAAGGTTTATAATATTTTCTATACTTGAATATTGTTATTGTTTTGGACATACATGATTTTCCTTGTGGAAAAATAAAGTTTGACTCTTGCGAAGTACGTGCATGATAATTATGATGTGATTTTTCATTTGAGAAAAGAGTCACCATGCTACTATTTATAGTTCTGTATTTATTTTTTAAAGGTTTCATTTGGCAACTTATTTCATTTACTTGAACTTTTTTCAAATCCATGTTTCTTATATTATATATTTAAATATATGTATAAAAATTAAATTTTTGTTTTTTTTTTTAATACCTATAAAAGCTGATACAAAACAAAATACAAATATTATCAGCTTCTACATAACTATTCTGAAAATAATTAAATACGTAGAGATATAACATATTTGAAATTGAATATTAGTATTATATTTTAAAGACGAAAAGTAGGTACCTGAATTTATGTAGTATGCCTCGCAAGATGATAATTACATAATATTCATTTTACTTTAAAATTATAAGTCATAATTTATAACTAGTTTAAAAATAAATACATAAAAAAAAATTTTGTTTTGACAATGTGAATGAATTAAATGATAAGCATATATTTTAGTTAGCCAGTATCAAATAAACTTCTAGACTGTTACCTACGGCCATAGAGCTAAAGTAAAGATGGAATGTTAATCAAAATAATAAATTTGAATTTCATATTTTTTATTTGTTTCAATAATAATATTTATTTTAATTAGAAAAATATTCTATATATAAATTTTACATTTGTTACAATTTCAACCGTTCGTAAAGATTGTGTCTCAATGTTGAATAATACTAACGAAAGAAATGTTTACGAAACTTTTTAGTTACTAATCAGGTTATCCATACTAATATTATAAATGTGAAAGTGTGTTTGTTTGTCTTTTTTCACGTCGAAACGGAGTGACGGATTTTCGTGATTTTTGTGTGGAGATAGTTGGAGGGCTGGGGAGTGACATAGGCTACTTATTACTTACTGCAAGAGATTATCTTATTTCCACGGGAAAACACGTTATAATACAATCGAAAAAAATATATATGATCAGAATTACTTGAAACTTTGTGTTAATGCTCTACGATAAAATTAAGTAAATACCTCTTTTAGTCTTTACCAAATTTTTCGAAATTCATACTATAAGAGGGTGAAAAAGGTCCCGCAACGGTGCGTGCCAAGCACGGAGCGTACCGGAACCGGCAAAATATTCTCCCCGACTGCCGGTCAGCGACGGAACGGTCTAGTGGGCAGAGTCTCTTACTTTTCAATACAAAGATATTTTTTTTGTCTGACACACGGTATGAGACGGTGTAGTAGGCAGACTCCTTAAGAATAGCGGACAAAGTAACTCAACAGGCATTTTTTTTCGATTTTAATTAAAGTTATTATTATTTCTGATAGTAAACACATTTTTATCAGTATAAAATTATAAGCATTATGGTATTCGGCTGTAACATAGTTTCCTATAGAGAAAGAATTTTCTAAATCGGATCAGTAGTTTCAGAGAACCCCCTTTTGATATAATATTAAAAAACAGTGGCTTGTAATATCATTGGCCTAGATACAAACTTTATATCTCTAATATAAGTGTAGATATGAGTACTATACTTTAGAACTTTAGGTCGATGGTGGCCTATTTCTATTATAATTATTAATGAAAATTATAATGCAAAATATATAATATACTAGCAGAACCCGCAGCTTCGCTCGCGTCAAACCTAAGAAAAAACTTTGAAAAGTTAGGAAAAGTAGTTTCATACAAACTTTCATGCCTTACTTTACTTCCAAAAAACGAAAATTTATGGGATGAATTTCGAAAAATGCTAAAAAACATATTTATTTAATTGCATATATAAACTTTACTTATTACCTTCCTTTACCTCTTTAAGCGATGAATTTCAAATAAAAACTTTTTAACAAAAAAATAAAAACCGACTTCAAAAAAAGCACTAAAAAGTAAAAAATAATTGATTGGTAGTTTTCATTTACTATACCTACATACCTAATCAAATATTTTATTAAAAAGTCGGTGTGCTTTGCTTTGTATCGGTTGGCACCGACTTCGAAATTATTTTATTATTTGTTTTTGAAGTCGGTTTTTATTTCTTTGTAAAAAGTTTTTTTTCTCTTTTTAGTGTAGACAGTATTATCAAAGTAAGAAGAAAATATTTTAATAAAATATTCGCTTACACCGTTTAAGTTACTTTGATGTCAATTTATATACGAAGACTTACAAATTAAATTCGCTTTTATTAGTAACACTGAAGATTCTGGCTCTAAAATCCGATTCTAACGTGTTAGGCTTGTCAAATCAAACAAAATAAGCCCAAACTCAAAGTATCTTCAAACAAAGCAAAAATTGTCCAAATCGGTTAATAAATGACGGAGTTCTAAGGTAAGAAACACGAAAAAACATACAGCCGAATTGAGAACCTCCTTCTTTTTGAGGAAGTATGGAAAAAATCTATATTTTAAAAATACATTTTAATTTAATACTTAAATTAAAAATTAAACTACGTGCTCAATGCGGTGAGAGATAGGGAAGAGGAATCACCAAACACCGACTGAGAAACGTGGCGACGCGTCGCCACGCCAATAGCCAGTTTAACCCGCCGCATTAAATGTTTCACATCAATAAAGACTTAAAATAAAAACTTCATGAGAAACAATAGATTAAGGATGGTCTCATGCACCTTTGTTTTCGACTTACTATACAATACATATTTTGTATAAAACGCATTTATATGGCAATAAAATATAGCTATTTTATTTAATAGCATTTGAATCTCTCAGCGCGAGTCCAACTCCAACTTGGGCGGTTTTTATTCATTTCTTTATTTTAAGCTATAATCATACTACGAGTATCTTTGATACTTGTATATATGCATTTATTATCGTTTTATGATAGAGTAAAACCAAAGAAATATTAAAAATTAGTTTGTATATGACTTTCTGTCCTAATATTTAACTTTTACTTTTACCTTTACTATATATATAACAATCAGTTCTAAATAAAATTTAAGTAATTTACGAAGTTGCACTAACAACAATTGAAGGACATTATTTAAAAAGGAATTGGCCTAACTTACAAATATTACCCAGTAAATTTCGTCCATTCTACTGTAATTGTATCATAATTTAAGAATGAATAAATTAACAGTCTTGCAACTCACTAAGAGTTGCATGCCCCTGACTTGCATTAATTGTAATATTAAGACTTCATGATTATAGTCAAGCTATAGTTAGTAAGAAGAAACTTAGCTGTACACTGAAGTTCAATCTATGTATATAATGTTATGCGTGTGCTTTTGACGTCACTTTTAAATGACTTATCTGGCCTAATCATTATAGCTTCACTTTAACTCCTTCAGAGAACTTGTGCTTTGTTTGACGACTTCATATTGTTTTAGCTTAAAAGACTGCAGTTGATATTGTTATAGAGTATCTATTATTAACTGTAACGGTAGATTAGTGGTAAGTTTAGATAATTAAATTTCACTAACATTAATAACTTATACGTATACAATATAATAAGACAATTAACTAATTAGTGCAGTCAAATAAGGTCTGAAATCAAAATTTTGCCACTCAACTTTGCATTTTTGATATACCTAACGTAAGTACATAGTTTTAATGATACAAAAACAATGTGCAAAGATTTGCGTGTTTGCAACCCCCGGCAAGTGTTGAAAAAAAATTTTAAAAGTATTTTTTCGCAATTACTCGAAAACGGTAAAAAATAGACAAAACAGTTTATTTTAAAAATATGTAGAGCGTAATAAAGATAAATATATTATATAAAGGAAATTTTTTTACATAATAAAGGTTACATGACTTGAGAGAGAAGTTTTAAGTTTATGGGATGAACGTAAAATAAAAAAAAATCGTATGTAGTAGAAAAGTAAGCGATTTTTTTTAAATTAATTAAAAAAATCTAAATCTTTAATTTTAGAAAGTCTATACAACGGCGTAGGATTTGAATTTTTTTTATACATGTATAAATTCACACCTGCCGAAATATATCAGGTAAAAATGGTTTTTCCATCGTAAAATTTAGGAAATTTTACGAGGAATCTAAATATAGCAAAAAATAAATTATTCATTAGTTTTTAAGTATTGAAATTTCAATATGAGAATTTCAAATTACTATTTTTTTTTTAAATAAAAAACTGTATCTATTAAAAATTACATTTTTTAAGCAATATAAAAAATCGCTTATTTTTCTACTACCTACGATTTTTTAAAATTTACGTTTATCCCTTATACTTAAAACCTCCCTAACTCGGTTAATTTTGACCGGAGAAAAAAAGTCATGAAACTTTTTTTAATGTAAAATTTAAAGCTCTACACATTTTAAGAAAACCTTTTTTGTCTAATTTTTAATGTTTTCGAGTAATTGCGAAAAAACACTTTTAAAATTTTTTTGAACCCTTGCCGGAGTTTGCAGACTGGAAAACCTTTACACATTGTTTTTCTATCATTAAAACTGCATTATATCAAAAATGCAATGTTGAGTGTCAAAATTTTTAACATTTCAGAAGAATTTTACAGGAAAACCGTGCGCCCGCACAGACGCGTGCGCTTTTGTAAGCGTGCTCTTTCATTATGACGTCGATGTTTAACGTCATCATTGAAATAAAGGGTGTTTTGTGTTTGTGTGAGTTTTCTTTCGAACGAGCCGCAGCGCACG